AGCTAAAACTGTAACACACTTACTGTATAGTTCTTTTAGAGGAAACAAATACACACAATTTGGATTGGAGAGCGAAGTAAATGCCATTGAGCACTTTGAACGCCTATATCAAGTAAAGGTAACCAGATGCGGTCTCATCGTCGATGAAGAAAACCCGTATTTGGCTTGTTCTCCTGACGGTTTAGTTGGGGAAGACAGTATAGTTGAAATTAAGAGTTCCTTGAAAAGTGGCGACCACGATCCTGTTGAGGCATGTATGTTAAAATTAATTGACTATTGTGTTTTAGATGAGGAAAACAATAGAATTATGCTAAAAAGGAGTCATAATTATTACTATCAACTCCAAGGCATTATGCACATCACCAAGAGAAGCAACTGTTATTTTATAGTTTATACAACAGCGGGAATCCATGTTGAGGAAATAAGAAGGTATGTTACCTACAAAATATGTCTAGCGAAATACTCATGCACTTACATTCTTATAGGGATGACATCTTTTGGACACAACATATGGAAAAAAAGCTGCAAGAATTTTACATGCAGTCATTATTGCCAGAATTAGTGGATTCAAGGCGATGTCGTAATATGGACATTAGGACGGTACACATGGTAAATTAAATACTTTTTCGGAAATGCAAACCTGCTTGTTCGTTTTTTATTTACCTAATATTTAAGTTTATATGTAAAATTGTATTAAAATTTATCTTTCAAATAAAAGTACCATTAGTGACATGTTTTACAATGGTGAAACACCAAACCGTATGTTTTCAATAAAATAATTGCGTCACTTGTCCCATATTTATAAAATTGCATTGGCGATGACAATAATGGGGTACCGCGAATAACGATTCCCTGGAGTGCTCGGAATGGAAATTTTCGAGAACCGGAACGCGAGCATCAGCCCATCCCCAGGAGGTTTAGGAAGGGGGGGGGGGGCATAGTAAACATAATGGTTGCGCTTTGGAGGAAAAATATTCCAAATTTAAAATTTTGGAAGAATAAACATTATTTACTGCCTTTCAAAGGTTAAAGAGAAAGCTCCAAAACATTAAAAAATCAGTTACAGAGTTCCGCTTTGTGGAATCTATTGTTTCCCTTTGTGTAGAGACAAAGCGAATTCTGCTGGGTTCCGTGTGCTGGTACGATCTGGAGAACGTATAATCCTTTCCAGATGTGATATTTACCACACTAAGAAAAAATAAACCAACAATGAGGGTTATTCCCTAACTCTAAAGGAATCGAAATGTAACAAATCGAATCGGAATGTTTAGTAAAATCGGAATTATTAGGCAAACAATTCCGATTTGACTAAACATTCCGATTCGATTTGTTACATTTCGATTCGATTGGAAGTTAGGGAATCATTTCCATTATGTAGGATTATGTGCAATTTTTTTTCGGGGGGAGGATCTGACCACACGGTCGCTTCATGAACGGGAACGGCGTACAAAATTTTTCCACGACACGAAACTATATGTAATATTTTTTACCAACCGGAACCCGGAATAACATTCGTTCCGGTCCATTCCGCTTCCCCGCAGACATTCAAAGGTTCTGCATAAATGTAGTACAAATAGCCTCGGGTATATACAAGGTAAATTTATTTTGTTAGTGGTTTAAATTATCCACTAATTACCCCAAGTCCTCGGGCAATTTATACCTGCCGCGGATCATTAGAAAGAAAAGAGATACCTATATTGTGTTGCAGTGGATTTTCAACCTTATTGACATGAAACATTTCCATCGATTTCTTCCGTTTTTCCCAATATTTTGGCACTAGTTTATAATTCTACAACGTGCGCGGTGGTTTAAACTTTTATACACTGCACGTACTGTGTTATAATAGAAGATTATTTAATAATAATGATATCTGTGATTGATTATATTGAAAATTCGAAATCGCCACTCAAAAAATCATATCTATTAACACATGCTTCGTTTTTAAAAAAACGTTCTATTGTAACATTCAGACACATGTATACACCAAAAAGACGTTTTGTCCGTTTCTTCAACATTTCAAATAAATTTTTTTTTTTGGGAAATAAGTTAACATTGCTCTTATGGGTGTATGATGTGTTGCCGACTTTCTATTTAGAACCCCCTTAAGGAGTCGCGTTTCAGTCACGAAAATCTGTGCACCTCCCATAAAAGACGGTATAAATAATGTTAAAGCTATATAGAGGTTCCCAAGAAAAGAAAAATTGGCATATAATTTCAATTTTTTGTAGTAAATATGAAATCTTCGTTTTAAATTATTTGTTTGTTTTACGCTTGCATCTTCCTCGACCCTCGTAACGAACTAGATTACAAAAAGGAAAAGTACATCGCTAACAATCCCTTATACGAGGTACAACCTTGTACAGACGTGGTCACTTGCAACCGATGCAAGCGCGTTTTCCCCGCACAGAATCAGTAAACTCGAGAAGGAAGTTACTAATCCGAAAAATATTTTTTTCACTACTAGCGTCTGATGACATGATTATTAACCTTTTTTCCACTTGTAAAGTAGGCTTTCTCGGCATTTGTTCAAAGTGGTTAATAATTTTTTATTATTAACTAGTAGTCAATATTGAGAACTGTCACGCTGTCACTTTTAGAAAACACAACCTGAAATTTCGCTCAATGAACGTTTAGACAAGTTCTCTAAAACGAATAATTGCCACCATTCGCAATTTCCAGAGAAATTACATACCTAAAATTATCACATTTTGAAAAAATTCGAACGAAATTACTCTTTGAATAATCTCAATGATAGAACAAAATACGGCCTGTTTGACTTGTACTTCCACGTACTTGATTGACATGTTAAATTAAGAAACAAAAAATTCTGTCCAACCGTTAACTCTCTTATCAATATAATATGTTAATTTAGAGGATTTCAAGTGCTAGTAGTGAAAAAAATAGTATATATACCACGGTAGAGAAGTCTATTACTTCGCACCTTACACCCCTCGGCGCAAGCGCCTCGAGATGTAATCTTGGTGCTCAGGCAATAATAGTGGACTTCTCTACCTTGATATATAATGTACTATTGTCGTTCTGGCCTCGGAGCTGTGCTACACCGTATATAAGAACGAAAAAGTTTCAACTGGAGAACTAGTAGCTCAGATGGAAATGAGTATATTTACATCTGTGCTAGTAGTAGTACAGACGGACAGACAGACGAACAAAGTGCGTACAATAGCGTTGATTTTCCTTTTCAAAAAAATGAGCTAAAAATAAATTATTATATTGACTTACGACAAGATCAATAGGATCTATTTGCGTCATACCGTTAGAAAAAAATACATACTACAATAAACAGAAGATATGAACAGTTGCTTCACCTTTAGGTAACCGATGGTGCTTTCGCTTTGACTCGTAAAACTGTAAAAGTGTCAAACAATGAAATTGAGCACCTCCACACTTTGTAATAATCTTCATTAATAATCGTTTTACAATATGAATATAGGCGCGGCAGACGTGCTGTACGTGGCTGATAACTAACATTAACGGCGTTTGAGCCCATTGCTAAATGTTACACGAAAGTTTTTGCACTTGTTCTGGAAGTCGAAGTGCAAGAAACCCGTACGTAGACCGAAACTATATTACCAACATAGTCATTAACCTTTATACCGGGTATAGGGAATTAACATGGGAAAACCGTTTTTCGCAGATTGTTGCTCCCCAAATTAACTTAGAGAGTTCATAATGCCACCATTGGAAAGAAGATTTTTTTCCGCGTTTTATGATATGCAAATTATTAACGTCTAGTTGCACGTTTAAATATTATTTTGCGAAATTAGGTAGTCAAAATGTGTACTTGGTTTAAAAAATCACGGTAGTCATGAAAACAAGGTACGATAACTGTCAATAATTTTGTCATGGCTACATGATTTTCTGAGTTCATTTTATTTTGCGAATTTTTGATACAATAATGAGAAAATACAAATAAAACTTAACTAATTCGCTTTTAGTTAGATGAGAAAAAAATCTTCTTTCCAGTGGTGCCATTATGAACCCTCTAAGTTAATTTGGGGAGCAACAAGCTGCGAAAAACTGTTTTCCCATGTTAATTCCCTATATGTTCGGTTGGAAAATATTCACCCGGTATAAGAGATTTTTGAAACCAAACGATGCTTTCTGCCTACACGCTGGCATGATTAGACTTTAAGTACAATTTCGGTTTTATTCGGCGACCAGCAACCTTATTTTTAAACACTTACGCCTACCACGCTAAATTGCCAATAAGCATTAAATTTGCCAAATTACATGTATATAAATAATGTCAACGATGTCAAAAATGATACGTGTACTGACAAATTAAAAACCAAAGAGTAAGATAAGAACGTCGAGAAAAACAAGGTCCTCTTTCTCTCCAACCCCATAAATAATTGTAACATTTTTTTTGTAGTGTTGTACTAAATCCAAAGGAGGGGCCTCAACAACAATGTTATACCTACTTTATTTGTTGTAGAATTGGGTTCTCTATATCTTGTGGCGCACACAACCTCTGGTACCAACGTATATTGTTGTTAATATGTCTCGCCACTATCATTAAGAAGTAAGTGCACGACCTTCTTGTATCAAAAGTTGAACGCAGTCATATCGAGGAAGTATTATAGGTACTAATATGAAATTAAAAAATTAGAAGTGGTCATATGGAAATTCGGACACGTTAATCAGTAATTAATCAGATTCCTCATTCATTGGTTACATCAAATAATTTTATTTCTGTGAACGTCTCTCTAAATCACTTAGTATCTTCAGTTTTTATGGTGGTAAAGAAACCAATTAAGTTTTTAACCGAACCGTATATGTATTAAGGCAAAAAAGACTTCGATATAAATTAGTAGCGGCTGTTTCTTTAAAGATGTGTTGAAAGAGTCGATTGTTTAGACGATTTGTCACGTCATCAATGGCGGCAATCTCATAACGAAGGCCTTCTGTTTTAAGTACATATCAAAACAGTCCACATGGGCGTGCTTGAAATATTGTTTTTTTATTGTTTTTTTTTGCAGAAAGTGGACATAGAAGACCGAAGCCCGGTCAATGTCAAAAGGGTATTTGCGGTAAAGAAGCGGCTTGTTTGTCTCATTCCAACAACACATATTCTTGCATTTGTCCGCACGACAAGTCACCACCTACGAAAGACTGGAGATGCACTCGTATTACAGGTAGCTATTGTTTTTTTGTTACATTCCATTACATCCAAACATTGAAATCCTCTAGCTACAATTGCGTGTTCTATACATATTTTTTCAATTTTTAGTAGGTATTTACACACTTTCCTTCAATTTCAATGGAAGAATTAACCAAAAACCACTTTAATTCAAAATTCTTATATCCTTTCTTTCAGTTCCACCCACACCCCACCCAATCAAGAATATACGATTATCATCAGATGCAAATTCTACAATATCTAAAAGTAAAAACGCTACTAGTCGCGTTAATAATCGCATCACCAGCACCTCGGTAAGTTTCAGAAAGGTTTTAAGTCGTGCTATCACCGATAATAATGTTGTACTACTTACTAGTGATATTCAATGCTAGGCATTTAACCAAAAAGAGAGCGGGGCGAAGTGTTTCAATAAATTTATAAATTAATTTAGATCACTAAAATCGAATACTTTTCAGGCGCACTCAAAAGAACCGTTAGCCAACGCACCTGGAACGTTTCCGAGTACAATAGTAATTTCAGTTTTGGTCGGAGTCATTGTGATAGTTATGATCGCCATTATTTTTACTGTTATCTCATGGAGGCGAAGGAAACAAGGATGCTTATGCTATAACAAAAATCCATGCACGGTACGTATTTGGGGTTCATTTTAATGACCCACATTCCCTCACATCAAAATCCGGCAAATTTTCGAACATTTTGGATAGAGGGAGACGTTCACAACCCCTAACATTAACATTTTCATAATGGGCAAATTGACACATCGCTGGAAAGGCTCCGGTTCTGTTCTACATAATTATTGGCACATGCCCACATCTTCCCAATTGTATCTAGAAAGAGCGAATTTGTATTTCTAAGGAAACCGAACAATAACATAAAAAAAACTGAACTTTCCATATTCTGAGATGAACACCTTTCCAACGACGTGGTACCCGCTCTATTATACACAATCTAAAATTTGAAGAGTTCCACCCATGCACCAAAAGCTGAAAAGAACAGCGAGTGAGTTTTATTGTAAGCAATGTCATTAAATTTATAATTGAAGTATTCGAACGTTTTTCGAGGTGTTTCATTTCCGATGCCTCACCCTACGTATCCGTGGATATCCGCTCGAAACTGTCTTAGACTTGGGCGAGTCTTTCATGTTACCGTAAAATCTAAATTTCCACGGAACCAAACGTATTCACATAGGTTGCACATTTTTTGGACGTTTAATTATTTTAATTATTTTTAAATAAAGTTTCACTCTTCCTACTAAAAACCTGGTGAATATCTAATTACGTTATTGTTAAAATTGCAACTAGTAAAAATCGACACATTCATTTTTTTCGAAAAAAATTTCCCTAATGTTTTTTTTTCCAATTTAACGCCAAAGAATACAGGGTTTTATTATATTTAGTTTTTATGCTTTTTAGAAATCACTGCGGGTGTTAATAATGGCGCTGTTTGTTACTGAATACTGTAACATATCGGCGCCGTTATGAGGCATGCCATCGGAAAAGATTCCCCGCCCAGGTGATTGTTAACGTCATAATATTATTATGGAACAGCAGAATTCTATTCTAATCAACAACCGATCAGCAATAAAAACTGAACCGTGATCTTCGCCAAGACAATTTCAGTTACACTAACGGAACGCGGTATTAAAACGTTGTTTGTAATTTTATTGTCACTTGTGTTGCGAAATAAATTGCACCACATATTGCTGCAAGAGAGGTAACACGAATTTTTGATGCACTCATATTAATTATCAAACCTTGGCTTTCGAAAAATTTAAACCGTTGCGAATTACTTAACATTGATAATTCCGTGAATGAGATTGGACAGACAGTATCGAGTCATAACTATATATTGCTTTTTAGCCAGTGTCATCTCCAATCGTGCTAAAACGAAGCTTTCTTGTACCAGAAAGATATGCTCCCAATCCACAGTATTCTGCTTGTTCCAGTAGTTCAGTGCCAATAATACAAAGGGAATCGCTCAAATTTTTAAACGAATTAGGCGAAGGATGCTTTGGAAAAGTATTTAAAGGTAAGATACTTCATTTTTTTGCATAGTTATCAAATTACCGGACTTTTTTTAATGAAAAATCGTATGGAAAACCGATTTCACGATTTATACTATGCGTTTCCATGACGTTTAGTCCTATCTGAACAGTCGCATCAATTGTTGAGTGACAGTAAATCGCGTATGTCAATGATATTGAATTATGACGGGTTATTAAGGAACACTATACAACAAAATTTCATATAGGTACAACACATTTCGAAAGTGTCCTTTTTTCATGAATTTGCTTGATTAACTCGGGCTTCGCTCTCATTAATCAAACTGCAAATTCATGAAAAACAGTATCACTTTCAAAACTAGTTGTACAAATAACTATTGCTTGTGTAATTAATGGTTTAAAAATGTACTTTTTTCACTACTAGCTAGCGTCTGATGACTTTTTTCCACTTGTAAAGTAGGCTTTTACGGCAGTTGTTCAAAGTGGTTAATAATGTGGACATTACGCATAACCTTTTAAATTTAAAGCATTAGGGGAAGGGAAACTACTGCCATTTATGAAACTTAGAAGATATTGAATTTAAAAAGAATCATTCTGGGTATGTTCAAAAAGTTTTCCATCCCTCAATTATTCACATTTACCGATTATTATGAATAATCGCCGCATTAATCACTTTGAGTGTACATGTCCACGGATTGAGTGCATAAAAGGTGTATTATCTTCATGTTCTGAGGATTGCTCTTGCTCAAACCATTGTAAGTAGGTATGTAATACATATACAATGCTCAAACTAAGATATTGAAAAAATGAGCCAAATAAATTAATACACAGGGTATTTTTTGCCGAATTCTGTCGATTTAACAAAAATGTATTTTAAAAAAAAGTTTTTTAGAATTAAAAGTTATGGTAGACTTTCAATTTTCATACAGCCTGTTTTTTCCTTTTGTAAAAATGGGGAAAAATAAAAATTTGCTTCTGTCGGTCGCGAATTTAACGCGTTTTGGGAAGATACTAAAAATCACTCTCGCTCGCATAAAAATAATCATGGAACTATAAGCGATGGAGCATATTAATCAAATTCTGAAAGTTTTCCTATATGACGGTGTAACTTTCTTTTATTATTCCCTTTCATTTCAGCAATAAAAGTGTTTACCGAACATGCTGTGGTAATGGCGTAGATACAAAGTGGGAAATTGTTTTTAGGTTGGTTGTTTTTAAATTTCGTATAAGAGAATTGACATTTTATGAAAAATGTAATTAAAACTTACAGTCCGGCGTCCCTTTATACTTTTATACTTGCCGAACTTGAGATTGGAAAAACTGTCATCCGCAGCTGAAAGCAACTTATTCAATCGCTGATGTGATGAGCTATATAGTTGAATTTTAAAATTATTATGATACATGGACAATAAGAAATGTTTTGTCGTTTGTTTTGTAAATATAATTGTATAATGTTACATGTTGGTAGAATTACAGTTATGCAACTTAATACACACGCCAGTACGTTGGCCGAAAGCCCGAACTACCAACGAATGAGAAAAGATCTACGGCAATTTATTCCAATTACTTCCCATTCTATTACCGATATGTTACAATATTATCATTATGTAAATATGTACACACGTTGTGATTAACTTTTTTTAATTCATCCGAATCATTCAGAAAAATATCTATTTATTGCATGTGAATAATAAATGTTCCCAATTCTGGTATAGGTACGTATGTCTATAAATCGGAAATAAAAGTTCAGTAGACACACGCCCTCAACTCAACGAATTGACTCGGACCACAATCATTCATTAAGCTTAGCTTATACAATCGCTTAAGTGGTCAATCATAACGTTGAGAAGACGAAATTGTATCTTCACAAAGAATCCTAGTAGGGCTTTTATGTTAAGTAAGATTGTAAAAATTCACTTAACGCCATCACCGATATATTTATATAGACTATAGAGAGCGCCTGTGATACAGGATCGTGTTTACATTGCAGAATGTCATACATTTATTGGAATAAAGATCTCGCCGGCAATGATTTCAAGACAGCAGGTAAAAAAAGATTAATATCCCCTGATCCCGAACTACCTACCTGTAGTCCTCCTACTCCTAGAAGCCCCGTTCCGTAGAGGTTTTACATTTTAATATGCGCGATGACAATAAAATTTCTTATCTTGTTTCTTCACACTGCACGATAAGATTGTGTTGTGCTTTAAATACAAGGATTAAAGTTTATCATAAAACAAAAAAAAATGTTAAGCAGAGACCGAATTTAAATTTTAGACTGTGGTGGAATGCAGTGTAGGCCAAACGTACGTATAAGAAGACTAGGAAGATAGGAAAAGATCCGTTATTTGTTTATTATAGTGAGATCCCGGTCGCAGGTCATTCCAGCAGTCAGTCAGCAGTATCGCATAACGAGTATGTTTTGCCGGTTCAATAAAATCACGCAGATTCGCACTAAAGCGGTATTTAAAATAACGTCGTTTAACATAATTAGATGTGAAAGTTCGGCCGCCTCCGTTTTATTCGATTACCAAAATATACCGACGCCGAAAGCGCTACCTTTAATAGGGACGACTTTGGCGCTAATCAGTTCCGGGGGTGCGCCTCGCCTACACATTTACGCGGATCAAAGACATCGACAGTTGGGACCGATTTTTAAAGACAAAATTGGTCCAGTTACCGCGGTTTTTTTATCGGATCCGCACTTAATGCGCACCGTTTTCGCTCAAGAAGGAAAGTGTCCCGTTCACATTCTGCCAGAAGCCTGGACTTTATATAATGAATTGCACGGTTGCTCTCGGGGTTTATTTTTCATGGACGGTGACGAGTGGCTTCATAATCGACGAATCATGAACAAACTTCTATTGAAAGGCAATGCGGAATGGATTGACCAAGCCTGTCAGGTTGTAAGTGCCGATCTGGTCAACCGTTGGAAGTTCTTGTCAAAGAGTTCCCCTATACTACCCGATTTGGAAACCGAACTCTATAGGTGGTCTTTAAATACCGTCGTATCCGTGTTGTTGGGAAAACAGGGTTACGAAATGGCAAAAAAGGAACTAGATCCCGACTTGGCCAGTTTGGCCAAAATAATTCATCGTATTTTCGAGACCAGCGTGCCCTTCCAGGTTTTCCCGGCTAAACTCGCACAAAAACTTTCACTCCTATCTTGGAAGAAGTTTTGCACCACTGTAACCAGCGCTCTGAATCTCTCCAATGTCTTGGTCACAAAATTATTAACCATTGCGAGCGAAGATGGATTGTTATCAAAAATGAAGCAAGAGAAAATACTTGATAAAGATATAACTCGCATCATCGTCGATCTAGTTCTAGCAGCTGGCGATACTACGGCATACACCATGTCCTGGATCCTATACTGCTTGGCCAAAAATGACTCAATTCAGCAAAATATACGCCAAGATTTTACCAAAGTGAAACATGCGATACGAGAAACTTTAAGATTGTATCCGGTCGCGCCGTTTTTGACCAGAGTGTTACCGCGCAACACAACAGTTGCCGGTTACGAGATACCCGCGGGGACATTAACGATCTTTTCCATCTACACGAGCGGTCGCGACGAGAAATTTTTCGACAAACCCGACCAATTTTGTCCGGATCGTTGGTTACGAGAAAATAGTACCACCAACATGCAGCAAGTTTGCATCCCTTTCGGATTTGGTGCCCGCTCCTGCATAGGAAAACGGATCGCAGACTATCAATTACAAACGTCCCTTGTCGGTATCTTACAAAATTTTCAATTACAAGTCGATAACGACGAGGAAGTCGACATGATTTTAAAGATGGTAGCTGTGCCCTCGCAACCCATAAGACTGAAACTTAATCGTATTTAAACAGTTCGTGTACCTTTCTACGCTACCTGTTTTTTTTTTTGTATTGAAATTGGTGAAGTAATTGGCATACTTTGCATAACCTGTTTTTGTTTTAGATATATTTGTTGCAAAATATAAAAATACAATAAACATTTTTAAGGACACGTAGACGTGTGATTAAATAAACCATGTAGGTAGGCCACTTACATAAAATTAAAAGTTCAGACGTAGGTAATGTTCTATTAATTAAGTACAAAGTAGGCGAATGAACTTTAAATATAAAGATACTTTTCTAAAGGTTAATTAATATTTTATATTCACCACATCCTACACAGATATCGACCTTGCAGTAGTCGTTTGCGCTTGTTTTATATTTACTATAGGCATTGGTTAAGTACTATACGTAAGCCGGGGCGTAAGCCCTAATGTGTCAATAAAGCTTGTTCCACACTAAGACCACGCTCACGCTCCACTCAAGGTATGCTCAACATTGATAAGTACAATGAAATCAAACACGAATGTTCACACTGCAGCTTGCACCAAGCTCACGCGCATTGCTCATTCTTGTTTGATTTTTATTGCATCAATTTTGAGCGTACCTTGAGGGTGAGCGTGAACGTCGCGTCGCCTTAGTGTGCAACCAGCTTAACAGTGCTAAACTGATTGTAGAGAGATTAGTCTACGGAAACTAGACCAAAAGCTACTACTTTATTAACTGACACCTCTTAGCAAATGGTTCGCCACCTTTGAGAGGAGGAAGGACCAATCATAACACAGAAAACGAACTATACCTCCGATACCTTAGTGGTAGCGATTGTGTAAAGAACATTTGGGCTTGGCGGGTACTACTAAAAATTGCAATTCCCCAAATTTAAGTCTACAGTAGAAAATAGATTATCAAATGGGAATAGACAAATGTAGATTTACGAACTCCTTATTTTTCTGTTTTGTTTTTAATTGACGACTAACTAGATTTACGCCTCTATAGCAATGTTTTAATGGTAGGTATCTATATATTTATTTATTTCATTTTTTTTTTTTTAATAAACATTATATGCAACCAAATTTTTAATACATCAGGGCTTTCATTTAGAAAAGCCGATTACAATTTGGAATGTTGATTTAAAAAATCATACATTGTAAAAACACGTCCATTTAGACAGCCAGGGAGAAGTTTAAAGGAAAGTTTACCTTAGCATTCAACCCTACAACCCCTGCTACCCGCACTTTAAAATTATAATACAAACCATCAAATTTTAATGGTCTGATTATGAATTAATTTTAAAAATCCAAGACAAATACAAAATAAATTAATTTGATACATTTCACGTTTTGATTGTTTGCTATCTCTGAAAGCGCCTACAGATATAGGTATCATTTTAACTACAGAACAAAAGTAATGACGCTTATATCAACTTATTAGTACTGTGTACATCCTTCCAAAAATTATTCTTTTTTGTTACTTTTTATTATTTATTTGTTATTTATTGTTCTATGTTTGCTTTTATTCTTCAAATCAAATGAAATACAAGAAATCATTTAAAAATAGAATACCTACACCTGGGCTAAAAGAACTGTTTTTTTTAATAAACTGATGGTACTAAAATAAGAATAGCTGGTATAAATAATATATCTAAGGGCCTATAACGTTATACCTACTATTAGAAGCGCAGAAAACGCTCAATGCACTATTTATTGTGAACTGAACTGGTGGAATTTTTTAGGTGAACTGCAGATTGAATCCAGCTATCAAGTAGAAGTAGTAGCAATAAAAGTACTAAAAGAATCGGCGTCGAGGGAAGTTGAAGAAGATTTTTTTAGAGAAGTCGATATTATGAGTGCGTTTCGACACAAGCACATCTTGTCACTAGTCGGAGTGGTTATAAGAGGTGAGATCGTTCTTTAAATGATAAACGTTGTTAATGTACTTTCAGAGGGTGGCTTTAGTCCAATGATGGTGTTTGAGTACATGCCACATGGCGATTTAGCGGAACTACTCAGGGAGCAAACCAAATGTGATACACATCTTCCGATACTCTCCAAGAAGGATCTGATGCTTATCGCGATGCAAATATCGAGCGGAATGAGTTATTTGGCAGCTCAACGATTCGTTCATCGCGATTTAGCCTGTAGAAATTGCCTGGTTGCAACAGGACCTATTGTAAAAATTGCGGACTTTGGAATGAGTAGGGATGTATATACCTGCGACTACTATAAGGTTGGTTTTCAATTTTGATAAAATGAAATTGACTCTTTTTAGATAGGGGGATCACGATTACTACCGGTCCGTTGGATGTCACCGGAAAGTGTCATGTATGGCAGATTTACTTTGGAATCTGACATTTGGTCGTATGGAATTATTTTATGGGAAATTTATAGTTACGGTAAACAACCCTATTATGGACATTCAAATGAGGAAGTTGTTAAACTAATTTTACAAGGCATAATGTTAATTCCTCCCGAAGACAGTCCCACTGTAATATGTAGTCTTATGAAAGCTTGTTGGAAGACAGAACCGCGGGATCGTATCAAGTTTTCAGAAATATTTGATAAATTATACAAGGTGTTCCACAATTATGAACAACTGAATATTTGTATCACTAGTAAGTTATCGTTTCAAGATGAACATGTAGTCGATAGTGCCACTCTCCAGAGAAAGTTACCTCGCCCCCCTCCATTATTGCCATTATCTCCGAACGAGATAGAACTGTTAGATACTGATGGTTACCTGCTACCTAATATAATCAGGGACCCAGTGCAATATCTAGATGTACAGAAAGAATGATGTATATATAAAAAAAAATTATGTGTAACCTGTGTACCTAATGCTCTTGGGAGTGTTAAAGCGGAGAGAAATTATGGTTTTAGCAGAACTAAATATAACATTCTAAAATCTGTATTATAAATGCAAAGAAAGAAATTACGTTTCCAAATGTTTTCTTTTGAAATTATGTATATTTCCTGTGTATATAGATAGAAGTGGTATATTTTAAAGTACGAGGCCAGACGCATATGTATTGGAGCAAAACAAATAGACATTACCTACCTTTTCCTTTTTGTTTGCTTTATCGTTTAGGAAAATAAATTCTAATTCAGAAAGTTGTGTTGCATATTTGTTTTGGTTCAATAGATATGTCTGGGCTCATACGAATACCTAATTGAATATAAAAACTTTTCATTTGTTTTTATAATATAGGTACAAGGTTGGGTACAATTGTACCTATAGCAATTATGCATGCTTCAATGGTTCCAAATTCCATAATACATTCCCATGAATAAAGACATATGATAGCAATGTACTTACGTTTTTCTAGTTGTCTCCCAAAAAAACCATTAATAAGGTATTCATAAATGTGCGATTAAGAAAATTTTTGAAAGTTTCAATGATAGGTAGTACCTAAGTATGTTGATAAATGCATAAATCTCTATTATGGCCGATTGCACCGACAAATTTAAGTGGAGCTTAGCTTAAGCATAGCTTAAAATCCATGGCAACGGTTATTGAATATGGTTGCCATGGATTTTAAGCTACGCTTAAGCTAAGCTCCGCTTAAATTTGTCGATGCAAACGGGCATTAATGACGTTGACATACTTAAAATTGTGTCATATACTCCAAAATAAATCCCAATAAATGTGATAACAAAGTCTTACATCACATGCAAAAATTGCAAGTCATTTGTCTTATATTAGCTGATGTTTAATGAAATGCAATTGCAAGTGATGTTCTCAAATGCCAAAGATGAAGACAAAACAGGGTTCACTGTGTTATTGTTAATTATGAAAACCGTTGCAATACAATTGACCCGCAATTTCTACTTTTACGTTTGACAAATCGTAGTTTTGATTAGGTATGTATAAGTTTTGTAAGATATATTTTATTAAATAAAAGAACTATAAAAGATGGCCACATCTAGTCAAATAAATATCTGTTCTTTACTAACCCTTCATTGCTTCACCAATAGTTACCCTATATCTATACATAGAACAAAATGAAGCAAACAAATTTACTCTCACAAGGAAAGTAAGGTAGAAATTAATACGTTACTTGTATATAGTTACTTATTTTAATTTGCTCTTTTCTTCGAATTCGCTTTGTGTGCAGTGTGTGTCCAGAGACCTTAAACAATTTTAAGACATTTCAGTGGACACCATAGCAACAATTTGTGTGTCACCCTTCATAAACAGTGTCATAACTATTTAGATAAATTATGAAGAAAAATCAGATAAAATGGACGCCAGCGACACCGGTCCGAAGAACAGATTGCATAATATCATCAAAGGCAAGAGAAAATAATGAGATTGGATTTATACCATCTTACGAAAAGGTAAACATTAACGGCACTTCCCTTATTTACTTGGATGTTGGTAGGAACCAACTGAAAATATGTATTTCATTTTATCTCACGAATATTTCCGTATTTGGCTAAAAGAAAGAAGTCAGTATGAATTAGACACTTATTCAAAACTGGAGGTTGAAGCGGGTGGCTCAGATATTAAGCGCCGTTATGTACAGCGTTACATCCGACCAAGACCTGTACTAGTAAAACAATTACCATCAATTAAACTACAACGGTAAAATGCTACCACAATAAGTTTAGATCTAAGTGAGTATATAATTCAATAATGTTGCAGATTTGCGCAAATTGCAGCTAAGGTGGACGCAAAACGATGATGTGTATAGTGTCTACCTAGCTAGAGGCATTGAATAATAAATCTATTCAATGCTAGAGGTTTACAGCTAAAATAAACCAAGCAAAAAACTGCCCTTTTTTATTTAATAATAAGTTAAGATGTACGGTCATTGACAAAAGTAATGATTGCCTAATGGGCAAACTTTGCAGCATAATCGACTAAATTTCCTATCATTTATTTATCTATCTATGAACATAACAGGTTGCCCCAATAAAATGTTCATGTATTAATTTAAAAAAAAAACTATTCGAAATTATAGGGAATATAAAAAAAATATGTTAAGAGTATTAAAATAAAAAAAGACAAAGGAAACCAAAAGAAAAAATGCTGTACAATTTTTTTGCACTATGCACTATTCACCCCCCCCCCCCTGCTGTTAGATACACGTATAATATATAACATGCATTACACCATGCATAGGTAAAAAGCAAAATCCTACCTTTACAAGGCTGCGCTTCTGCAATCTGCAACAGAAAATTTAGATAAGTCAAAAATAGAGAAAAAGGGCATCATTGTCAAATTATAATTGAATTAAACCAAGTTAAATGCCTAGGGCGAATAATGTTCTAACAATTACAAACACATTGCACTGCAAAGTTTATATCATAATTCCAATAACACGATAAAAGGCAACGAATAATGGTATCGGGGAGTAATAAAAATATACCTCATACGTCAAAAGTCCATGACGCAGTTATTCCTATTTACGAGTAATGTAGTCAAAAGAGCGTGTTTGGTCATGTCGTGTGCAATGTAAATTACTCTCTTCCATATGCTCGGCACATTAACCAACATCCCTGTCAATGTATCCTACGTTTAGATCATATATACCTAATTATGATGTAAGATCCTCTGGTACCTACTAGGGATGTAACGGAAGTGGTTATATCGGAACCGCGGTTCCCTGCGTGACAAGTAAGTATAAACTTGTTTGTACGTGACATACTGATTTTGATGCCACCGACGTTCTTCATCCACCTCTAATATAACATTCGATTAAAATTTGTCGGAATCGAAAGTGCAAAATCAATCGAAAGTTCTGTTCTTTCGGAATCGGAATCAAACCTCTGTTACATCTCTAGTACCTAGGTAGCATTTTGAGGTTAAGGTACGGTAAGAAGTAAGTACGATGGAACTTTAGAAGGTTTGAAAACTTACCTCGAGTCAACGCATATTCTTGATATCATAAGCGTCTTGATCCAAAAGAAGAAGCACAAATCACCACGTAATTGTAAAATACGAGTTAGGTAACAAATTATACACGACACCGAAATGAGTGTTGTGCTTTCCGAGTTCGTTTTATTACTTTAAAGAGTTGATTTTTAATATCACGACACTTTATAATTTGAAAAACAATGCAAGAAACATCGAGATAACACGCAATCGCGAGTTTAAATTCAAAGGGGACGCCATCATAACCAAACATTGAAACGTTTAAAAATACCGATTTATTTAACGACGGGCCGAAAATAACGACGTGCCACAATTTTCCAAGTGTTTAGTTTTAATTTTCTGGCGTTTATTTTGTTATGATCGTTCTTATTTTCAAAGAAAACGGAAAAAAGCTGCATAGGACGCGTAAGCGGCTTCAACGATAAACTAAAAACTGGGTCACGTGACATTAAGCGATGACGTAGTAGGTACTTGATCGCACGTGACTGATTTTAAAAAATGGTCCAATCACAGCGGTCAGTTTTTCAAACAAAATTTGGCATTATACAGGGTGGTGCCTAACGCGACGCAGCATAGGGATTTCAATGCTAATTTCTTTATAGTCAATTACTAGCTCCCACGAGCTTCCCACATTATTTTAGCGCAGAAGTTTAAATATGTTTTTTTAGAGAAAAAAGTACTGCATCTGTTTATACTACATATTACTTATAATTTTTCGTTTTTCAAATCCGTAGAAATCGACAAAATAAAACGGTTCAAGTACCCCAATCGGCCGATTCCAAGCAGTACCACAGTAGACAATTGTGCGAAAGTTTGAAAGAACAGGTACAATGTTAAATAACTGCAAGTGCAATAAAGTTCAAAATGTCCGTTAAAACCATCACATCAATTTCTTTGATTATGTTGTCTGCTTCCAGAAAATGATACACAAATAGTATTTGATGCAGATGGAGCATTACCTACATTCTCTACAAAAACATTATCCCAGATGCTTTTTCTGGCGTAGGGTAGTTGAAACAGAATCTGAAAATCGTTTGACGTCAAACAACGATAACTTGGATGCAATAGGATTATTGTATAGTTTGTTAAGTTGCAAGTCTTGTTTCAAAGGCACATCACGCATAACACTTTGTACTAACAAATTTTAGCAGATCTTAGTTTAACAGCTATGGTTGCCATGAATTGTAAGTTAACAAATGGTAAATCTAAGCTCCGCTTAAATTTGTCGAAACTTTAGGAGCATAATGAAACATCAGACATAATTTATTCAAGAAGTGCAATATCTAGTAACGCTTTTATGCATACCTAGTTGATCTACATTGTAAGTCTTTCTATAATTTACGACTACAAGATCCACTTTTGTTAAATATCTAGACACAACCACACAACGTCGGCGCAACTGAATAAACCACCATACAAGAACAGTTTCATTATAAATAATTACAAAAAGGTTCATTTAGAAGTGAAATGCACAATTTACACTGTCATGGCTAAAATAACACTTAATATTCAGGAATGGAATAAGTAGGTAATAAATTTACAATGAATAGTGTTAATTTAACCAAACTGGAAGGTAAATCCACCAGGGAAACCACCACCTGATGAGAAGTTAAATTCACTGCCGTGACCACTACTGCCGCCAAAGAACGATTGAAATACTTGACTAGGATCGATATCTGTAAAACAATAATTAAAATGCGGTCGAGTAAAATTTGAAAATGTTACTCACCGTGCATGCCGCTGTCAAAATCTTCCATATCTTGACCACTGTCGTACCTCGCCTTCTTTCTGGGATCCGATAGTATACCGTACGCCTCCCCGACCTCCTTGAATTTCTTTTCTTGCTCTTTCTTTTCCGCATCGCTTGCATTTGCATGTCGATCCGGGTGATGTACGAGAGCTCGCTTCCTGTACGCCTTTTTAATTTCATCATCTGTAGCCGATCGTTCTACCCCCAATATTTTATAATAGTCTTTACGTTTTGATTTTTTAAGTGCTAATTTCGCATCTTGCAACAATTTTCTTGTCTCGCGATTTTTATCCATCTTACACGCCTTTTCGTAGTCACGCACTGCTTCTTCGTAGTCGCCTAAATCCGTATGGCACTTGGCACGACGTAAAAGAGCTTTGAGGTAGGTTTCGTCCAATTGCAAAGCGGACGTACAATCCTTGACTGCATCTTGCAATTTAACGAGACGAGCTAAAACTGTGGCACGATTAAAATACAATTTCGCATTTGTTTTCTTATTTAACGGGTCGATGGATAGAGCTTCGGTGTATAAGTTAATCGCCTCCTGAAATTTACAACTTTTGTACGCTTCGTTCCCCTCTTCCTTTTTCCTTTTTAGTAATTTTGCGCGTTTATATGATCCCATTGCGTGTTTGTGATCTGGGGCTAATCGAAGGACTTGCTGAAAGTGGTTTACTGCGCTGTCGATGTTGTCTTCGTAAAATAAACATATGCCGCGAATATATATTGCATCTGCATTGCCTTTGTCGATGTGTAACATACTGTTTACCATCTCCTGCGCCTCTTGATAGCGACCTAAAAATGCTAAGCATTCTGCTTTTTTTACTTTGTACTGCACACATGTGGGTGCTTGATCTAGGCATCGGTCCATGCAATATATTACTTTACGGAAGTCTTTTTTATCATACGCTTTTGTACTTTCTTGCTCATACTGCTTTAATATATCTATGACTCTTTGATCGTGATTTAAAGATGCGTTTGTCGGATCTAATTCTACTATTTTGGCCATCGCTTGGTCTGCCGTCATTGTATCTCCTAAAGCTATACTGCATTTTACGATTCGTTGATAGCCTTTGATGAAACTGTTGTCTAATTGTACGGCCTTGCGAGAGTCTGACAGCGCCTCTTGGTAATTGTTTAACATGATGTAGCAGGCAGCACGATTTCCATAGTACGCGGCGGTCTCCGGACATAACTCGATGGCTTCAGAATACAGGGGTAACGCTGAACGATACTGTTTAATTTTGAACAATTGGTTTCCATTCTCCTTCTTCAATTCTGCTAATCTATTAAGAAGAAATAAAATGTTACAAAGGCGAGGAAATTAAAAAACGTACGAATCTCTAAATGTAACATTCGAAAACCCATCAATTTTTGACATGCTGATCGCGTTTATTCTTTTCATGTAGACACTGGCATTTAAAATTTGGCAGCCCGATTATTTATTTGGTTACCATGAATTCCATCATTGTATAAAGACGGGTCCACATTATCAAACCGAGCTACAACTCTAACTTTAAAATGAGCCACAAGCCGAGTATATTCGTGAACATGTACACCATTTTTTATCGAGCCGAACCTTGTGCAGTCAAGAAAATCGTCACGATCCACGTATTTAGGTAAAGGCTCTCCTAAGAATATTACCCATATTTATTTAGGTACTTCCTATAATCTCATATTACCTAACTTAATAGGACCCAAGCACATGAAGTCTATTAAAAAAATCATTTTTGTGCATCTAAAAGGCCATGGAATGCATTTTTTCACAAAAACAAATTATCGCGTATATCAAAACAATAATTTGGTATTTATTGCCTAAATATCCGATCAATTGCGGGTCTTCCACCCATTAAACTTCCATTCAGATTTGTAATTCTGTTGTTTGCTAGTTATGGCAGTCGGAAAAAGCACATGAGAGTAATGGGGCAATGCACCAAGATGCCGATACCTGTCACATACCCTGCCTCATTACTCCCAACCTCTTTCTGACTATCTGATAGAAAACAATCTTAGCGTCACGATTACTTTGTAACTCAAGAGTACGGGGCCTAAAGTGAATCAAAGCAGCAAACACAGAAAGCGATAGCTCCCCAAGTATATCAGCAAGAGATAGATACAATACATTCCCACATCTGCCCACATAAAGGTGAATAACTGCATTCACAGTGATGAGTAGGTAACTAAGGTCAATAACCAAAATTAAACAATTGCATAAGTGTCACCCTTCTGTGATTGTTGCCCATGTCTAGCAGCATTGTTTCAATACAGAAAAAAAGTGTTTTGAATTTTTGATAACACTTCTCTGATCACATGGTGGTACAATCCAAATGTTGTGGTTAACCTTATCAGAAAGCAAAGTTTATAAGTAATCAAAGGTCCCTAACGCTGTACAATTGGCGTTATAATAATCAATATATCACAAATAAACTCGTAGCAAGAGGCAGTACACTTTATAAATAGGAATAATTCCCCAAACAGCCCTGACCTTTTGCCACGAAACTATGATGAGACATGTACTAAACTAAACACGAAAAACGACACGAATAATTAAACCATTACTTACTGCTCAGGATTTGTCGGTATTATCTCTTGTTGTTCGTCTAATTCCATTTTTAAATCGTCAACGTCCTTTGTAACATCCACCATCTTTTTCCGGAAGAGACGTGAATTACCACCACTACGCCTGCGTGTGAAATACAGGGTTAAATCAACATCGCAATGACGTTTATTGACGTCAGTCATACGTACAATAGCGCCCTCTCGTAATTCCTTTTCGTGTTTCTGTTCAAATATTGCATTCAAAATTTTATGGAAGAAAATTAACAGCCAAATTGTCACGATTAATTTGAAGAATTTTAGATTGAATAAAACAAAAGAGAGCATGGCCAAATATTTACGTCAATTTGACGCGGTGCATAAAAATATAAATAAATTCGAAACAAAATTAGATAATTATAGTCCGTCCTTGCCTAAACTTTCCAAATCTGAGGAGCAGAGCAAAGCGGAGAAATTTGCGGCGTTTGCTAGGAAGTATGTGGCCGAAACTCCGCAAATATGCACATGGTTCTATATGAACAAAACGGAATTGGAACACTTATTTTTACTTTCCAATAAACGCGACATCAAAAAGATGATAAGTACTTAATAACAAATGATTGGTATCAGTGTAATTTATACATTGTAGTATAGGTCAAAAAATTGGAGACGAATATCCCAAAGGATTATGCCGATTATTAATGGTCGAATTAATCTATTCGGTGCTACAATTTTGCAAGACATCAAGAATGAGTCTGGTTCAAACAGGAACTCTATTGTCAATTTTTTACTTAACTCAACATTACTTTTCAAGTACTTTTGATACAACAACCGAAAAGGTGTACCACTTTTTTAAGGAATACATTTTGCTACACTCTGTCGATGTAAGCATAAATCTACAGCCTTAATATATCTGCGTGTTAACGCCAATTTTTCAGTGTCCACCGGATAGTCTCCAAATATTCAGCTATTCCGAAAGCAAATATATAGTCTCATTCTTTTGCATACTTTACCTTCGGAATCTGCCGCTGATAAAATTACTGACTTTACCGAATTTTGGGTTCAAAGTGCGATACGAATTGCCGCCAGAACCGATTGTACAAACAAAAGGGAAAAAAAAGCGCTAACGAAAATAATACATACCAAAAGATTTGTACGTGGTGCATATGTTAATTCATAATTTAAACAAAATAAAATTTCAAAATTAGTTAAGTATCAGCCCACCTCCACTCTCCTATTAACCATCGACACTGCCTTTTTTTGAGCTTCGATAAAAAAATTGTCTCAGATCGACCCGGAAAAAATTTTTCTTATAAAACGTGGCCTGTAGAATCCATAATTTCAAACAGTTCCAAGATTGGGCTACTAGTTCAAAAGTTACAGCCCTTTGAATTTTCTTTCGAAATTGTTTTCTAGTCAATAACTTTTGATTGAGAAGTCTGATCGAAAAAGTACAAATTGATTTGGATTCTACACACTCAAATTAATAAGAAAAAAGTGTTTTCCCGAGAAATTTTGGTGTAGTCGATTTTTGATAAAAAAGGAAGGTTGTACACTGCCTTTTTTTGAGCCCCGATAAAAAAATTGTCTCAGATTGACCCGGAAAAAATTTTTCTTATAGAACAACTTATAAACAACACATTTACCTTTAAATTTTAATAAGTAAATACCTATATTATTACTAAATACAAAAAATTGTACTTATTTAGATACATCTACAAAAATACTAAACTGATTTGTATAATGAAACAGTAAACCTTTGAATCAATCAGTGGATTAAGATATAAGTTTTTTTAAATATTCACTCAATGCCCGAATTTACCAATATATAATTAGTTTATATAGATTTTATGGTTTTATAAAACACATTGAATATACATACAAAAATGCTAGGATGTATCATAGAAGTCTTCATCTTCTTTTGCCTTTTTATGTTCCCAATACGCATTCGACGCTTGCAATTTTCTTGTAAATCGATTCACCTTTTCTAACCAAACCCTTATCAAAATCCAGTCTTCATTCTGCTAAAAAATTGTGACATATGATGTTTTCTAAAGCAACATAAAACTTTACATCAGTATCAGATGCATATGAAACTGGGCATTCTTGCTCCCTTTCACTTGATTTACATGTACACTGTAACCCTTGTAATTCCCTACAAATTATTATACCTAGTTAATCTAATAGTGTGTAAAGGTAACATGTGCACGTCACAAATTAAAGCATAAACGTTGCCTGTTGGCAAAGTATGTTTAGTATGGCGGCTAAGTAAACTTCACATTTTTTTGTGGGGACACCCACAAAATAAACATGCCAAATTAAATATTAATATTTGTTAGTTAAAATTTGTACCTCAAATAATTGCAATTTTAGAACTTCGATATTTTAAATGCAGTACACATTAATTGAAACTTAATCATTTGCTTTGTTCAACAACAGAAAAAAAAAGCATTACGTCAGTTAACAACCCCATTATCAAGCATCTACTTTGTCAGCACAAAGTACACATTTCTTAAACTTTTAGGAAGCAATTAGGACAAAAAAACAATAAGTCTACCATTAATTTTTTTGCTTTAGTTGAATCACAATATCGAAATGTTTTATTTGCAATTAAACATTCACATTTGTCATTATAATAAATCACCTAAACTTGAAATGGAATTGTGGAGAATATAAAGAGCGTTCAATAATTGATCTGGTAGTAGTTTCTCTAGCATGAATTTGCAGGGTGGTTGAGAACTTCGAATGGGTCGAGGTCAACTGTAAGTCACAAAGAAACACTGTTTCGAAAAACATTATTTTAATTTCTAAAAACGCAAGAAATTGGAGAAGTATGTAGCAAGTTAAAAAGTGGAAGATTGACAGCTGCACTTTGCAATGAGAAACTGCCATCCACACGGGTAGTCTGACATGAACAATAATTGAACGCCTTCTTAATTTGCAACAAATAATGTTAATGGTTAATTGTTCACACTACATCGTTAAGTGGACAAATCTCATAACGATAAACTTACACTACTTTTTCTTTTAAACTATGTATAAGTAGTTGGTCATCGTTAAACTTTTGTGTAATTTGTTGATTGATAATGGCCTGATGTTCGAGCCAACGTCGCACATTATCAATGACGTTACGACTCTCACCAGAAATATTTTCAGTATTATTTTTATAATCAACAATTTTGTTTTGTAAAATATCTATCAACTTCACAGCCTTTTGGTAATCATGTTGTAGGTGTGTATAAGAGCATTGTAAATTATCAATGTGTTTCAGATGTTCTTCATTTTTCGATTCCAATTGTGTTATTTCATCACGTAAGGATTGTAATTCAGAAAGAGTGTGTTCATACACTTCATTTCGTTGTTCGCCGTGAATTACGTTCATTAGTTCCAAGTTACGTGCTTCATTCTAAAATAAAAGATACCGAGATCTTCATCTGGTTTATGGAATTGTTGTTGCTGACGACATAAACTAGATAGAATACCAAAGAATGGTGAAACAAGTTAAAAAGAAGAATAGATGAAAATAAGAAGACAAGTAAAGCAGATAGTATTCAGAGATATTGAATGAATTAGATACTATAAATAACCACTTCAAATGGATGAAAATTTAATTATAAGGTATAAATGTTTCATCATTAAACTTACTACTATACCTTTGCCAATAATAAACTACATCGATGAAAAACGCCAACTAATTCGTTTCTTAAAACATTGACCTCTTCTATCATGGGTAATTTTAAATTATTTCCATCTAATTCCTTTGGAATAACATAAGACTTTTTCCATAATTGCGCAAAATCATTAGATAAATTAGCTATGTCTTTTTCGCCAACATGTAAACCATTTTCAAATTGTTTTTTACTTTCCACCACTTTTTCATCATTATTTGAAGAAGAGCTTTCCTTAATTATCTGGCTTGGTGACGAATGAGCTGCACTCGCCACAACATGTGAAGTGCTTTGCTTTATACCTTTGGTAAAATCAGAATTCTATAAGAAAAAAGAAACCATGCGTAATCATATTCAGTTACCAAAGGTAATAACTTACAGAAATCTTCAACCTCAATTGATACTTGAAAAGCTGCATTTCTAAAATTGCAATATCCTGCACAAATTCAAACATGTTTATCTCCAAGTTTAAGTTTGCATCTTGCAAATAGTCAACTAGTGAATTGAGTTGTTGAATCTACAACATAAGTAAAATATACATTTGGAACATAGGAAAAATGTTGAATACCTTCTTAAGGTAAATCACGCATTTCTGTTCTAATTGTGCATGGTCCTGAAACTAATTCAGTAAGAAAAAATGCTAAAATCATAACAAACATCATGCGTTACTCTAAAACCAAAAAAATTTATTTTCAACATCACAGTTTCTGAATAATACATTCCAATACTATAAAATTAATGACTAGCATATTGTTAAATAATAATATAACAAATCATTAGACAAATAATAAAAGAGCATAAAATATGGTTTTATTATTCTACTTCACAAACTGCACTCCATTGGGTAACTAGCATACCTACCACAATTAGACGATGATTGCCAGAAGCAGGGATTCGTTATTTACCTACATGACAAAATCTTACTTTTTGTTTAATTTTATTTAATTAGGACGTCTGACTTAACTAAGCACTCTTTTCCCCAAAACCTGTACCTCCGAGAACTTTTTTGGAGGAGGAAGTAACTGTCCAAAAAACAAAGTGGCCTGCCACTATACTTAAGTACTACTTAATCAGCAGGAGAGAATGCAATTTATCCCGGCAAAGCAATAAACATAACAACCATGCTGAGAACAAGCATTCACCGACCTAGTAGAATCATACATCATGCACTGATTTACTATTAGTGGCACTTTTAGAGTCAGACGACGATAGTCCAAGCCATCTAGATGTCCACCCTACACTTACATTATTCACAGATTTTCGTTTTAATTCGTCTAATTGACTTTTGCATTCCGTAAGTGCATCTCGCAGATTTGAAATCGTTAGATACTGTTGAGATATCTGGATAAGGAAAAATCATATAAATGACACGTATACATTTAGTTCACATACTGTAAAATTTGCTTGTTCCAAACTGGATGAATCGATGTGCTAAATTAAAAAAAATATTGAACCATAATTATTGAAATTTTGTATAGGTTTCACCTGAAATTGCTTGCCATTCAACTTCTTTTCTAGTTCCAAAATGGTTTTCTTTAGATTTGATACCTCTCGGGAATGTTTTTCTTGCTCTTCTGTTTGTTGAACAGTATGCTAAAATGACATGTACACTATACATATATATAAATTTGCACAAAAATGAACCAAAATCCAACTATATTACGTTGCATCGATTTTTTGTCATTTTTCTGCATTATTTTAAATTAATTGAATTGAGCAATTTAAGTGCTTCCAAAATATAGATGCTATTTTAAGTTGTATAAATTTCCTAATGCTCTAGTAGGGTCCATTTAGGTGAACTGTATGTATGCACCATCATAATCTCTACCCGCATGAAGTTAACCATGACTATCTCTGATTTTTTTCATTCAAAAATTGGAAAATATCACACAAAAATGGAAAAACATACTATATAATAAATACTGGTGGCCTTATCGCAATTTATCCCAAAAAGTAGAGAAAATTAAGTCAAACAGCTGACCAAAGGTCATTGCTCCTTGAATTTTCATACAGTTCTTATTCAAGAATGGTATCTAAGTATTTGGGATGCCTAACTTAAAAAGAATACAAGGCTGTGGATAACGGGGGTATATCTCAGTATGACAATTGTCACAAATATCCGTATAACTTACATAAATACTGTACTTTAATTATTGCAAGTAAAGTCGTATACCTACCCGTAATTTGTCAAGATTTTTTTGGTTTGCTTTTAGTTTTTCCTGAAACAGAATGGGACATAAGTTAACTAATAACATTCTCACAACTCTAACATTTTCTTTTCTCAACAGTGCGATTTGATCTTCACTTGCCGAAATTCTAGCTTGCCACTCAAGTTTGGCCAAATCACATTCCTTTTGTAGTGTAGTCATGGATTTTTGCATTTCTTCACATTTACGCTTATAGTCTAATTCTTTTTTTGTCAGCTACAATAATACCTTTACTAAGAGCCTTTCTCTGAACATAAAACAAAGTACTTCATCATGTAACTGCTTAATAATGCCATCTTTCATTTCCAACTGCAACATGGCGTTTTCTAATTGTTTACCGTCTTCAACATTTTCTGTTCGCTGTAAAAGTAGCTAGTGGTAACTGGATCAAAACAATTGGACGATTTTACTTGCACTTGCAATTCTGCAATTAAGCTATCTCTATTTTGAATCTCCTCTGACATTTCACGAAGTTCACATTCTAAAGTCCGTACCGTTTTCCGAAGAGCTAGATTTTGTTCATACTTCTCGGACACTTTGACGAGTAAGGAATCGTGAGCTTTTAACATTGACTAAAATACATAATGAAGACATTTTTAAAGGGTTTCAGCACCTACTTTTTTAACAGAATTTATTTCCTCCTCTTTTAAACTTAATTGAAAGTTTAGGTCTTGCATAAGGCTTTCATTTTGGATGTATTGCGTTTGACTAAAAAAGCAAGCAATGTCATTTTCTACATAAAATACAGCGTATTACTTACTCAGCCGTTTGGCAAAGCTTTGTAGTTAACTAAAATAAAAATAATCGAAATTATTTCAGAGTTAGTTGTCGCCATAGTACAGGAATTTTCTTACCTCGGCAGGAACAGCATGAATCCTAAAACGAGTTATTTTCAGAAATTACACAAAAAATAAGGGACGATCAAAAATAAGTGGCGGTCGAGTCGCCTTTGGAAGTTCAAGTTAAGTACGATTTCCCATGTCAACAAACATTCCAAAGGTGGCTCGACTGCAACTCATTTTAGATCTCATAGTACTGACTTGTCTAACTCCGATGGTTGTAATACGTTAGGATCCACAGTACAAAATTTTAAACCAACCGTGCTCCAATTGTTACAGTAACGTATACGTTTTATAAACTCCAGCAAGTTATAAACATCATTTTGAAGGAACATTAATCTTTGGCACATTTCGCGTACGAAGTTGATTGGCACATTATCTTTGTACTTTTGCATTATCTAAATAAATTTTAGTGAATTATATCAAATATGGTCACGTCATTACCTACATTATCACAAGACAAGGTACTACCACGCATTTTTTCTTCAAGCATAGAAACACGCATAGCCGCCTCATTCTCCAATTCTGCCACCACGCTGACAAGCATCTCATTTTGTTCCATCAAGTCTTGAAGCCAGCCTTGTATGTACGGCTTCAACTGAAAAAGGTTGTACAGAAATGGACAAATCGGAACAGTACTTTACTTGTGTATCGGTTGTAGTGGTAATTTCTCTTAATTTAGAGCGAAATATTCTATTTATTTCTTTTAAGACCAACAAGCCTTGCATGGTTTGTTTATCACTCTCTTGTGAAATTTGATCAGGTACTTGGTCCATTTTTCTTCACTAATTTAAATGTTTTTTAAAGGGTTGACAGTTTGGCACAAAAAAGAATATGTAGTTATGTTCTTCGACTATAAATAATTATTATTTCATGTTTGTGTTCCAGACCTAGCTGTGAATGTAAATTGTAAACCTTAATCCCAGAAAAGTGATACTATTTTCTGGGGTGGGCCGTAATGCTGTGGAACAACATAAATAAAACACGAACACCTCTTTTTATTTATATATATTTTTTATGTGGCCACAATCCACAATCACCATCTGTAAATGACTGTGACTACTAACACAAATCTCGACTAGACTTTCTTTTATATACAGAGCGTTTGAGATAAGAGGTCACCTCAATATCTCTTTTACTACTTGGCGATACGACAAATTTCTCAAATATAAATTTTATATGTGACGTTACGATCTATCTGATCGAATAGGTATTAATCCAGTCAAATTAGCTCCAACTGGGTGACTCCCAGACCCTTCTTATGGACTATAGGCAGCTATTGCTATCGTCAATTTTTGGACAAAATTTCATTAAATGTAGACGTTCTACATCATTTTAAGCAACTTTTAAATAAATTTTTTGCCCGTCTGTATCTATGTACGTGGGTACGCAATTTTCCGAGGTAACGGCTCGACGGATTCGGTTAAAATTTTGGACATGTATATTAGGCATACTGAAACGAAAAATAACGGGTTGGATTTTTGACAAAAAAATGGTGGATCGTCGCAACGGCATCAAATTTTTTTTTCAAAAAGAGACAACCTATCCAAGTACTGATCGCACCTGACGTTGCTCAACTTTGGTGATCCGACGAGAACGAGTGTTTTCAAAGTGGTATGACCGATGTAGAGAACTGCAGTATTCTAAGGGGATTAATTACATAATATATTCTTAAAAAAAGAGCTTTGGGCACTTTTTAAAAGATCGTTAACAATTTTCGCACACTTGACGGACAGCGCGTCAAGATCGCAGAGGGATAATGCGTCGATTGGTCTGAATTATAACAAGTATATTTGATTATGATTTATTCCTGTACAATCTTTTTCTGTGCATACAGAATTATAATAATCATAATATATAAGCAAGCATAATGAAAATAATAAATTTATTCATATTCAAATATATTATAATACAATATTACTTAAATTATGGATAAAAACATCCATACCAATTAATATAGCTTGTTCAATTTAAAACTTACTGTACAACCACCTCACTACATGTACTTCTACCAAATTATAGAACGTGATTTTAAAATTGATAAAATTTTTTTAAGTAATTCCACTAATAATATGTATAACAATAGAAGGGATACATCAGTAGGAAATTTAAAATAATAATTAAAAAAATAACAGTACACATTGTGATGTTTGTGTGAAATGTGTTTCAAAATGTTTAAATGCGTAGAAATTTATAGTTATCAGACAGAATTACAAACTTCACATTAAGAAACATATTTCAAAATCATTAGGACACATAGAATTAAATTTTTCCTAAAAACTGACTTTGGAACAAATATAACCGAGTTCAATATATTTATATATTAGTAGGTACATACAATAGTTCTAGTAAATAGAGAAATGAATTAATCAGATGCCAGGCCAGGACTTTGTTTAATTATCAAATGTTGAATGGGTAAATTACGCAGTCGTATGGTGTAGTTAGATTGCGGGCCTTCAAAATGAGTACATTTTATAAATTAAAAGTACACAGTATATCATCCAACACTTGACAAATTAAATCAGATCAAATACCCATGTACTCGGCGCCAAATTGGCTATTTATAAAAAAATTTGGTGCCGTATTAAGAGTATGAGAAAATTAAATGCTGACAGAGTTCATTAATGTTATTCAAAGAAGGGCTGTATTATTATTACACTGATATATCACTATAGCGCAATTGCGCAGTTCATTCCTTTATCAGAGAACATGATTACACGCCCAATTGCAGGCCATCACTTACAACAATTTCCCGCCGCCTTCGCTCCGGAGTCACCTTCCACTAATCGTCTACCTTGACCGCTGCCTCCTGGACCTGTCGTTTGTTCATTTTTGGGAAGCTTCTTTGCTGTAAAACATTATAATGTACTCAAATCCCGCACGTAACAAATAAAATTTCACAAAAACAAAAGAACGACTTCCAACCTAAGTTCGTAAAACTTAAGGGAATTGGGGAGTACTGCAAGAAATTTTGGGACGTACTCAAACGAAATGTTGGAAAAATGTTTGTTTTGATACTATTTGTTTGACATACTTAATTCTATCGTTGTTACCTTATGTTGTTATTCTTATTTATTATTATTGTTTTGTTATGTTTATATATCCTCATGTTGTGTTAGTAAGGATATGCTTATATATGTTTGATTAGTGATCAAAATGCTAAGCAGGTGTTTAGTTTGCGTATGTAAGCAAGATATCAATTCAGCTTTTAAACAAAAAACCTAAAATTAAAAGCATAACGGGTTAACTGCTTGTTTTTTTCTCAATGCTAGCAAGCATAGAAAAAGTAAAAACATTTCCATTCAAATATATCCAGTTCCCACTTCCCAAAGTCTGAGCAAATTTCCTAAACGCCCAGTGATTAAACAGAGAAAAGTCAATACCATCGTTAATTAAATGTACTTAATCCAATTAAGCCTATTAGCCAAATTTACCTATTGCCAAAAATATGTCATTAACATTCATCGCCGTCTTGGCCGATGTTTCCATAAACAGCAATCCGTTCTCTTCGGCATGCGCTTGCGCTTCTTCGTATTCGACCATTCGTTTATTGGCCAAATCCTGTTTGTTTCCCGCCAGCGCTATTACGATATTCGGACTAGCTTGTCGCTGCAATTCTTTAACCCATGTTTTCGCACGCGCAAACGTATCTTGGTTTGTTATGTCATAGACAACGATTGCGGCCTGCGCACCACGATAATACATCGGAGCTAAACTATGATACCTAAGGAGCAATTCACGTGTGATTAGGTCAATGGAAAGCGATATACGATAATTACAAGATAAAAGATTATAAATAAGCTGATAAGGAAAATAATGTGAACCTTTCTTGTCCCGCCGTATCCCAAATCTCGAACTTGACTGTGGTGTCATCCAGACATACGGTTTGTGTTAAGAAGGCGGCGCCAATCGTGCTTTCTTGGTATTCGTGGAACTGGCCCTTAACGAACCGAAGCACTAGACTAGACTTTCCGACAGCGGATTCCCCCAAAAGCACCAATTTGAACTGACATATCTTTCCTTGCGTTGAACCATTAGGTCGTTGGGCTGCGGAAGTTCTATTTGCCATTTTTCTGCAGAGAAATTAAGAGGAACATAATTAAGGGGCGGAATTTGTATTCATTCTTGCTATTCAAGGGCATCAAATGGGTGGAATTCACAATGCAGTTTTATTAAGGCCCAGTTTGGATGAGTTGTGATTAGGATAAGAAAACTTTTTCGGAAAGGATACAGTTAACTTGTTCGTGACGCATCTGACATGATAAAAAATAGACTGCTTTGTAGGTATTCAGAGAGACATCTAACCTACCTTACACAACAGAAATCACAAAAGACGTATCTCAGAGCACTTTTTTACGAGAATAAACATAAATATTTAAGAATTAACGCTAAAAACTATTAATCAGCACCAACTCGCAAAGAAGGAGAGTATTAATCTATGAAAAGGTAATTTTAATGTAATGATACAATGACAGTTCCACTAATTCCAATGTTGGCAACGATGCCATTTACCATGGTTCCTCGCGACTTCATTTTTCAACTTATATAATTATTAATTTTACCAGTTTATTTTTTTTATAATTACGCATACTCTTCACTTACCTAGCAAAAATTTACATTAGTTGTAAGGGACTTGAAATAGCCTTAAATATTAAAAAACATAGATCAATCAGAACTACCAACTTTGCAATCGGAACAGTATAGGCGGTAAATTCAAATATTCTAAATTCACTCGTTTTGGGGTGTCTCGAGGTTCTTTTTACAATCTGTTGCCCTTAGGGCCAATTTAATCTCCGTGAAGATGATTATAAGAAAATTCGCCTATACCTAACTACAATAAGTAAATTCGCTCTTGCAATATTCGCCCAGAAAAAGGTTACACATTTAGGATTCGCCTCCAGTGAAGTTGGTCATGAAAATCGAAGGAATGAGTCCTTCCTTAGCGACCTTAGCAGCTCTATAGCTATGGGCTTCTACTGCTTTAAGATATTTTGTGGTTTATCTTGATTTTGCTACATCTGCAGCACTCCTCTAGGGTGCTCGTTCTTGAGTGCCGCCAGCGAGAGCAAGGGTCCCAAAGTAATTACAGTGTAACTTTTTATTGTCACGTTTCTCAAGCACCTTTCCACTAGCGAATGGATGTGGTCGGGTAGGGTGGGGATATATTCTCAGGACCTGCCGGATGGATTGCACTGCTTCCTTCTTTTTAACGCTGTCTTTGGCTCTCCCAGCCTGCAGTGACGGGTTAGACGCACGTCTTGGAAGATTGGCCTTTACAGATGCCATATGTTGGTACCACAAATGTGAGGGAATTTTATTACAAAGAATTACATGTCAAAGGCAATGATCTTCAACAATTAATTTGGGGGATATTATAGCTTTGTTCAATATACTTTTAAAAGTGTCCACGCAAACTCCCCCAGTTTTATCCCTTTCCACGCCAATTTCCCACAACTTCTCAAATGTGTCATTCGGGAATTCGTATCCAATGCTGGTAAAAATTTTTTTAATTACTTCAGGTGATCTCGGCTGTAATAGACAACATTCTGAGTACGGCTACTGCAATAAGCCATACCAACCATAAAAAAATCTCTGTAACTCAACCCATAATTTGAATAAATACTGGGGTTGATAACCCCTTCAGCTGTTGTCTCATCACCCAAGTTGTCTAAGTCCGCACCACACCCTCCGGCAGGCACGACCGGATACAGACGATCATATCGAACGCTCGGAAGTCCCGCTACTCTCATTCCTAGGGTCTATGTGGCAGTTTGTCCCACACAAACAATTACATACCGCTATTATCCATTGACATAGCATCACAAACTGCCGATTGCTGAGTGGATAAATAATACTTGCTACCCTCCGGAATGTCTTCAATCTTTATTATTTCAGGCACTGACTTATTCAAATCTGCCAGATATACGAAATCATTATAATTGATGTTTCCGTTTTCTATAACGCCGCAAAATTGAAAAAACGGTTCCAGGCACGTGTACTGATATTTTAATCCGTGACATTCGCACATTGCATAGAATATTTTCAGCGGAACCCATCCTGTGTGTTGCTATAAATGAAAAAGGTAGATAGATCTAGTTTCTCTTATATACGTACCTTATCATAATATGCGACGTGGTCATGAAAGTCGGGAAGACTAAAATTGAATTTGTTGAAACGTTTCTTGAGAAACATTCGCAATTGATTTAAGTAGATCATCCACTGATGAAAATCGCGCTTAAACATGCAAGGGGGGCAATTCGCATCCTTTAACAGTTCTTCTACACTGTAAAAGTCGCGGGCTGTTGGTTTTCCGAACATGTGCCCTTTTGGAACGGCTGTTATGTTATTATTGCTAAAAATTGATTTTTTTTGTAACTGAAACCACTGTGCTCAAGAGAATATTACGGTGATAAAACTTGCCCAGGTTGTGGTTGTGTGCGAGCTTTTACGTCGGCTTGTATGCAGTTGCTTGCCACAATTGGATTTGTGTTACACCAGTTACAAGCGCATTTTACCCAAATACCCCTTTGATCATAGTAACATCGTTTTCCAAACCTCTTATTAGCATCGAAAGCTGGTGTTAAATATCTATTGGACAAAGTATGAGGGACGTATGATGAAGGTAGGTAAATGTAAACCTGCGATGCCTTTGCTCTCCAGGGTTATAGTCGTTATGAGTCTTGATGTACATGTCATGACCAACTTGACTATCCCATAGTACCTGGTAAGTACTTTTAGGTGGATTAACAAGTTCTTTGACAGGAGTTGCTAAAATATGTGAAACTGTTTAACGGCTCTATAGTGGTAGAGGTATATTAACATACTTCTATTGGTCGGTTTCCCGTACGTTGTCAGTGTTGGATCCATTCCTGTGGGAAGTCCTGCAATAGGATCCTGGGAGCGTCCCTCAAGTTTATTCCAATATGATTCATAACTTGTTTCTTTTAGATCATTTATCAGTGTTTCGTATCTTGTTTTAGCCGGTGGCCCCACTGCTTCCCTTACCTTAAAATGAATAAAATTGACCTACACTTAATTAACTGGCGATTTAAGTGTGTTTCTCAACCTGCAGCTCGCTGTACGTATCACTCCTGTAATATTTAGTAGACCAACCTTAGAATTCACTAGAGATAATTAATTATATAACGAATAGCTGACATTAAAACTCATATGAAAATGGTGTATTTTAAATTTGTTAACAAGAAGCAACAAGTACTTATCCAACAACACAGTCATGAAGTTTATTCCAAGTCGTTTTATATCTGAAATCATTTCTTGCATTGGCCGATTGACACAATACATCAACTAACTTTTCTATTTCTATTGCAGACTTTTCAGGTTTTTCAACAGACCGAGCGCAATTACACTGGCTGTAAAATAGGCAAGAAGAAGGAGTCAGTGAAAGAAAACAAATTGTTCAGGAAGCAAAGGAATTCGATGTTACTTCGAATTGCTTTTATTGAGGTAAAAAAATTCAGCTGTTTTCCTTAGTTTTTCCTAATTTCTAATCATTAATTCATCTGTATGAAAACACAGTTTGAATCGGTAAGGTAACTAATATTTTTTGTTAAAATATATTATACAGGGTGGTGACTTGCGTAACGTATCATAGGGATTTCAATGTAAAATTCATAACATGCGATTATTGCCTCCCCAAATTATTTTAGAGCAAAAATGTATTAAGATTTTTTGTAGAAAAAATTTTTTTTACACCAATCAACCGTATTAGTTTTCAATTTTTTTCATGTAAAGACGGAAAATTGGAAAAATAAAACCCGCATCTTTTTCAATAATCTGCAATGCCATAGAATTTTCTAAAACAAAAAGATGCTTATCCAGTTATCAATTAGCAGCAGTTCGAAATGGATTTTATGATCGACTGGGTTACTGTATTGCAGTTAATGGTGACTTATTCGAACATTTATTGTAAATTGTTATATCAGGAAACGGTTTTTAGTAATTTGATCTTTCTTTATGTTGAATTCGCTGTTCTAAATATAATACTTTTTGATAGAATTTCATTTGTTTTATAGCAGGACATTCCATGGCATGACGGATATTGGCGTAATTTTTGTATTATAAAATTCCATGGCATCACAGATTATTGAAAATATGTGGGTTTTATTTTCCAATTTTCCGTCTTTATTATGCAAAAAATTGAAAACTAACACGGTTAATAGACGTAAAAATTTTTTTCCTACAAAAAACCTTAATACATTTTTGCTCTAAGATAATTCGGGGAGCCAATAATCGCATGTTATGAATTTTACATTGAAATCCCTATGATGCGTGACGCAAATCACCACCCTGTATACCCTGGACTAATGTGGGAAAACTGAAATCAGCTAACTGCACCTCAAATTCTAAAAGAGAGGCGACTTTTCTACCTACACAAAAAGAACAAGATATAAAAAATCGCATATGACTTTCAGTAGGGGATTTTTTTTACAGATGTGAAATTTTTCGAGTTCAGTATCGAAATTCTCAAAACACAGACTATCACTAGTGCCACTCTAGTACTCAAGTGACCAGTACACCAACCTATTTTTTGTCACATACACTTGACTCAAGCATCGAATGACTTAAGTGACAGGCGATTACAATTGTTTCTAGTTAGCTTACCTCATTATAGACACCTGCATGTCGAAAATTTCGAAGTTTTGGTAACTTATAGTTAATTGACAGTTTATGTTCATATACTCCCCAATCGTGTAATACAGCATCTACTTGAGAATCTAAACGGTAATCCTGTAAACAAGCTGCAACACTTTCCTCTTTATTGCCAAAGGTTTTTCCTGCCTAAAATTGCGATACAAGAATTTTATAAATTTTTCATAATTTTGACTATACCGCACAAATTAACGGATTTCTGTCAATGGATTTGCCATTTCGAATAGCCATGATTGAACCTTAGTTTTTCTGTTGTAAGAAGTACCACGATACAAGGAGTATCAGTCACAACTCTAAAAGATATTTGACATTTTATTATAAATTATAAAATTACACTAAAGAAAAATGAAGTGAAATCAATAAAAAGATTGGTATCCATGGAATTTAGAGCAAGATTAAAATATCGAGATCCCGGTCCTAAGCACGCTTTTTGTGGTAAGCATTTTATTACAATCTTAATATATACAAGTCAATTAAACGTAAAGCAAAAACTGTATTATCTTGATCTCTTATCTTTATATTTCCTTTTGTTTCTGGAATGTCTCTTTCTTTTTTCATCAGAGGATTCGCTCGAAGATGAACTGGAATCTAAAATGATCGTAGATAATTCGTTTAGAAGATCATAAAAAGATTACCAGAACTACTTGAACTTGACGAACTACTAGAGCTCGATCCCTCAGCATCTTCAACAACAGGAACCTTTGGTAACGATTTTAAATGTTCTCGAAGAGAATTTGTGAGGCCACCCAAACCTATCGAAGTAAAGAAATTAATTGCGAATCTGGTATTTTTGGGATTATCTCTCGGGAAAAGTCCACCAAAATGTGCTTCCAATGTCCTAAAAAGAATGTTATTACCAGTTACCGTTAAATAATTAAACGTACGGATCTTTAAGTCTTGCGTTCAAATTTTGAGTGCCCATATACTCGGACAATTCTTGAAATAAAATTTTTATAAAAATTCTACTGGAGCTTGTAGTGTCTTCTTCAGTTAATTTCATTATCTCCAACACTTGCCATCCGATTGCGTCGGTAAATAGCAGATGTGCAAAAAACTTGCTAACATTCCTCAAACGGTTTGTGTCTAAACGATGAGTAGTGAAGTACGTATCTTTAAAAATCTGTTCAAATGGAGCGACGTATACATTATTGATTTGACAGAAACGTTGCGAAAGTAAGCCATAAAATTTTTCGTATGTACGCTGTTCGGCGCAACAATCCAGAAACATGTGGCAAAGCTCAATTTCTTGACCAGGTTTCAGTTCCATTTTCATTAATTTATGAGCACATTCTTCAAAATCCAAACTAGACTGGATGGTTAAATAAATTGTACGTCTTAATGTAATTAAATTTGTTTCTGTATTGTCAATGATCATAGAAGAATCTTTATTGTCTTCGGCTGCATCTTCACCATCCTCCTCGCCTTCGGAGTCGTCCGATCCCGATTCGGACCCACTTACGTCACTTCCTAAAAGCTCCTTTGTCAAGGTTTTGTATTTTCCCTCATTTTCTTCGTATTTATCGTCGAATTTAAATACGTCTAAAATTAAACGATTAATAATAAGCTTTAAAACTGTGGAAGAGTACAAGTGCCATACAAGTTATTAATTAGGCAAATAAATAAAAAATAACTTGCACAACCCTTCCATTATACTTCACCCACTCACTTAAAATATCTTCCCCATTTTTTGGTTCAACTTCATCTAAAGTAATAAGATGCGTAAACTGATCTTCCTCCTCGATCAGGTCCAAATCTTCGATGATCGCGGCATGATCTTTAAAGCCATCCTTTCGAACCTGAAACATGACCTCGATCATGTACTGTATGCGTTTCTCCAATTGTCCCTCGTGCAAAATATTACGTAACATTTCGAAGATTGCGCTAATACCTTTGCTAGATACTTCGGTCAGTTTTTGTCCACACTCTTTTAAGAAGGAAATCGCGACCTCGACCGAATCGTCGGTCGGCGATTCTACGAGAAGCGTTAAAATTTCTAAAGCTAAAATTTCGTGCGCGACCCTCTGATTGACAAGATGAGCTATAAACGAAACGGCCGTAATGCATATCACTTTATTGTTCTGTTTAAAACCGCGTTTGAATTGCAAAACGAGTCTTCTTAGCAAAAGTTCACCGATGTTAGGAAATTTTGAATTTATAACGGCAACTAAAGCGGCGTAGACGTGGGTAAATGTCGGCGATGCAGATTGTGCTTGAATTATGGATTTGCAAAGTAAACCGCGTCCCCGAACGATATTTTCGTGCAGTAATTCTCTGGCTATGATGCCAATATTCGAAGTGTTAACTTTGTTGATGCAACCGTGAATAGACTTTTTCAAAGCTTCCCAAGCAATTCTTTGATAGGCGGTAGAAGTTTTATCTGTTATTTCGGCTTGCATCATACGCAACTTGGCAGGTGGAATGTAAGCACCGCCAGTCTTCGAGGTAAGTATATCGAATGCCTTACGCTGACGAGGTTTCGCTTCTTCTTTCGTCTTGTCTGCCACCTGCTCCTTTTTCTTTTCCAGTGTTTCATAGTAACGAGCACCAACCTGTTTGGATTCATCTTTTCCCAATTCCGATTTGGAGTCTTTCTTCTTTTCGACAGTTTCATAGTAACGAGCACCGACCTGCACGTTTTCTTCTTTCCTAGGATATTTATTCCAATACCTATCGCTATTTTCCTTCACTTTTTCAGTGTTATCCCCATAATATCGCGAATATTCAGTTTCTCTCGATTTATCGCCGTCTTGCGGTTTTGCAGATTGGGACCTGTTTTTGTAGCTACGTTGACGTTCTCGAGATTTCGACCTATCCCTTTCCGGATCTCCTTTTATCCTTTTTGTGTCCTTCGAGTGAGAGGATTTTGTGCGTTTGCTTTTGGTTTCATTTTCATCGTTTGCGTTCATTTTGTTTATAGCTGTGTAATGTAATGGGAATTGTGAATAAAAGTAAACAAGGTTATATCGTTTACGTCAAAAATTACCAACAACTCCATGTAAAGTCACCAACCACGAAAGAAAAAAAACCCTAGGTATTAATTTATACAGGACGAATTGTTGTATATCAACTGTCTACGCAGACTCAAAAGAATGCATTGTGGTACAAGTTGTGATCTTAAAAATAATAAAAAGAAAAACCAATGATTTTTCTTGTCTGTACGAAGAGGGAATTAAGTTCGAAAAATCGACAAATTGCAGGTTTCAAATCCCGTGTTCTGTCTGTGACTAAAGCCATTGAATTAATATTAAGGGCCCTATTATATTTATATTGCAATTCTTGCAGCAATTGATTGCACGAAAAATTACTCCGTGTATTGTCAAAATTGCACGTGCAATTAAGGCTGCAGGGCATTCTGCAATTTTCTTGTTTAGAACTTGTGCTATTTGACTTGCAATTTAATAAGTATTTGTGTAAGATTTCATTTTTATGATCAGGTTTAATATTTAAAACTGAAATTGTTGATTATTTTTATCATGAATGCTCCTCCGTATTATTTTGAAAATGGCGCATTTTTATAAATGTTCGAATGCGACCGATGCGTGTAAAGAGTAGTCTCTCAGTTCGCCGTCCAGCGGCGCTTTTGTAAACTTCATTATGACTAGTTGTGTAAAAATAGTTGTTAATAATACGATTTAGATTTATTAGAATTAATTAAATAAAATAAAAATGTAAATAAACGAAAAACTGATTTAGTTGTTTGAGTAGATAAAAAGTGCGTCCTTTCGTGCGAGTTTAAATCTTAAGTTCGTTCATGTGTAGGTTGGGCTATGACATTGGAGACTCTAAGAAGGTTTTTGTGCAAATTTCGGTTGAATGTGGAGTGCTATTTCGAAGATATTTTCAAAGAGCGCTAATAGGTCATCGATAGAGGAAGATAAAGAAGAAAATAGAATGGATCGTGGCGACGATAGACGATCAGACATGGATACGCTGGATGCCTATGATACCAGACAGGTAAGATGATTTCATCTACCTAATTAATATTGTTAATTGCCCACATACGACGACAGCTGTTTTATTTAAATCTCCATCGAAAGTTATTTATCACTTGAGCCTATTTGTTTTGAATCGTCGATCTTCTCGGTGTTTATTTGGTGGCTATTTCAAAGTGGAATTCGATTCGAGTTTGTTTTGCGTGTGATTAACATAATTGCACAAAATACGTACATACAGGGTGTTCGATTACGATCAAAAACGACACCCGCTATGATTTCAGTAGAAAATTTGATGGTTAGAAAAATCGGTGCTCCCACGCACTTAAGAGTAGGAGGACTCTCTTTTTGCAATCCAAAATGAAATTTCTGCTTTTGTTATTTTATGTCGTCTTGTCGATGCGATTGCTTAACGCGAAAACACACATCCCCTACTCAATGTGACAATTTCACTGCGAGAGGGAATTTTGTCAACTGATTTATCGATCTTCATTTTTTCATGTGTTGTAATATGACGTCATAGGTATTCGAATATTATAATAATATATTTGTCTAATTAGCAATTTGACTCCCACCTGAATAATTCCATATTTTATTACTTCGCTCATTTGTAAAAATAAACCATCAAACTGCTCTGATTTTCTTCGTTTATGTTTACGTTTAATTGGCAAATAGAGTTCCCTATGCATAATCCTTTGAGCGGCAATCGAAATTTCAGGAAAAAAAAGGGAATAAGTATTGATGAACAATTTTTCTGAAACGTGAACGTCGTCACGGCAAACAGGTCCTAAAGGATGTTCTTGGGGGACGGATTGCAGTGCGTTTAATGGTGCGTGTAACTTTCTGCTCTATCACATTTCTTTGCGTTTTAATTTCATTATTCGAATTCATCGTTATCGTATTTTTGCATTTTGGTCCTCATCTCATTCTTTAACTGGTAACTGGTTGTGGAGGCAAAGATAACACTTTAGAGCTATGTAATTCCCGAGGTAATTCCAAAGTCGAGCGCAAAGCCCTGAATTAAGGAGATATACAAGATTCGGGTCAAAAATAAGTGTGTGACCACAGCTCACTTTAATTAAAACATTAAAAGTCAATGAGCCTATTGAAAAGGTGCACTGCCAGTTAAAAAAATTCAATTGTTTTTCGTTGGTGTCGCACTCTGCTATTTCGCGTACATTGTTACATGGATAACGTGATATTCAGACATTTCTTTGAAATCAATTAAAGAACTAATTATTTCCGTGTACTTTTGTTTACAAATGAGTGACAAATAAAATAGTATACATTATACGCCAGGTAATAGTTTTTACTGGCTCTAGGAGATGACAGGCTCGCCTAACGACTCGCCAGTAAAAACTCACTTACCTACCTGGCTAATAATGTAAAATACTATTATTTAATTAAGTTTAGGTTGTGCTTTTATTTGGTACTAGCGGACACCCTGTATCAAAAAATAAAACTTTGCTAAGCGTTGAAACCTCCGCGACTGTCGGTATCCGGGGCGAACGCGGAAAGGAGTTCTCATAGAAAGCTTTTTAATCCAATCTTAGAATTATAAACAATCCATTAACATAAGAGAGGTCCACGTTTGTAAAATGCTTACGGTGATTTGCAATGGATGAGATGATTTCTTGTTAAAGTTGTTATATTGGCCGTCACGCTTTGCGGATTCCTTTTTTTTTCCAATTCAAGGCGATATGCCGTCGTTATTTAGGACTATTTGATGACAAGAATTATTGCTTGTTTCCGTCCTTCGACTAATGTTTGACCCCGTTTCTATAATTAAGATCGTCTGAGTGAAGTGTCAAATCTTTGGGCTTATGAAAACATTTTTAAACTTTAGGGACTGACAAGTTCCATTTAACTAAACTTCATAATATTTAAAAAGAACCACGCACGTTAAAAATCTTAGGAGAAAGCTGCTCTACACACTTCATAATCTTTAACTTAGATGTGCGTAAATAAACAAGAAAAAGGGTTAGCCAAACGCTGATTAATGCAGCTTCAGTTATAGAAATAATTACAAATTCTAAATTTAGCCTGTAGATTAACTTTGGGAATTTTAGGCTAAACAAAGGGCGTCCGTAAAATGGTTGTTGGCCAAAGCGTTCAATAATAAGGTACCGGAAAATTTACGAGAACCATTCTATAGGGATCATGAGGTGAGTTTCGTGCAATTGCTATGGATCGTAATTAATTTTTTCTTACAGAACCAGGAACATCTAAAACCGCAAATCGTAGGTACATTAGCCAATGCAGAAATCTACTGTTTAGCTTTAGGAAATATTTATTCGGATCCAAACTATCACAGTCTCAATCATTGGTCAATTTTGCAAACTTTAGCTAGGAAAGGTGTTTATGTGACGGAACCATCAGATGGATCGCAACTAACCGAAACAACACTTATCCAAACGAATCCCTTGAGAATGGTGCGAGAAATTTCAGTCGTCTCATTTAAGTTACGATATTCTTGTAGAGTGCTCATATGGCAGTGATTGAGGCAGTCATGACGTTATATGCAAAGGAGGTTGTGACGTCAGATAGGGTACTGGCAGCTGTTAACAGGTTTAATCACGATCGCATTAGTGTACTGTCCAATCCGGATAATTACGAGCAGAATCTCTTGCTTTGGGTTTCTCATGCTTGTGCCGCACTGAGAAAAAGGATGGAGCAAGAAGCTGATTCAGGAATGAGCAATGGAGGAGGAGAGGTATGCTAATTGTCTTGCAAATTAATTATAAATTGTAGCAGGTGTTTGTTTACAACAGCATTTAAGGTTGATTGGTTATCAGGTGACCAGTTAACCATCACTTCTTGCATATTTATACATATAGGATGGTCTTCTAATGCAATCATTTTCAAAATGCAACACGGTTTGTACACATGTTAAATTAAGCCCTGATCAATATGCATTACAACATGATTTGCAAATAATTAAGGGACAAAAGTGTGACATCCTACTGTTTGAAGGAATTTATGTGAAAGTCATCTGATTTGAAATCGCGATATTCGCATGCTAGGTATTCCATAGGTTAATGAACCTGTTAAGTGTATGGCAATATTGATTTTATGTTTATTTTTTTTTCATTTTTGTGTATGCGTCTTGTGTATGTGAATAAAACCTACATAATTAAGAATACGCGTGTATTGCTGCAAAATTTATAATCTGGGTCAGCTCCCAAATTTTACATAAAAAATATAAGAGAATTATGGTATTCTACTGATAAGTGAAAATTGTTCAATGGTATACATGGAACAATTATGATTTGTGTAGTGGTTTGAAAGTCCATTGCTTTTTGGCAGGTTTTTGTGTTTCATGTTTACTTACTTTGCAACAATGAAAAACGCATTTGACTTGGTTTTAAAATTAAGCTGGAAAAGATATACACAGTGTCCATTTTTCGAGTGCCACTAGGGGGAGCTCGCTTATCTTAAGAGATAGAAACTTGGTTAAATTAGGGCAAAGTTGCGAATTTTCGTGCTGAATAATAATCTAAAAAGAAATTTATAATATCTTCAATGGTTTTGAAAATGTGGCAAAAAATCGAAAATTTCTGATTTTCATTTTTAACTTTTTCATGGTAAACTAATTGTACTAGACATTTCTAATTAACACATTATTCAGACATTTTTTAATGGAGATTTCGAATATGGCATCCCGTTTTTAATAACTTTCAAGATAACGGAGAAACAAGTGGCAACTTTAGTTTTTTTTTATGGGCACCGTTTTGGATTTTAACATTTTGAGATTAGGTCTTTTTTTCTCTTTACAACGATATATCACACATGGTGGTTCAGTATCACATTTTTTCTAAAAATACATTTTCATTTTTTTGGAAGAGTGCTATGCAAAAACAAAACGTTCTTTTGTTGTGGTTGACCTATTTCAAGCAGTGTCATTTACGTTTGTGGTAGTTTTATTGTTAAAATATTATTTATTCTTATGTATTTTGTTCTATTTTGAATTATAATTTTCTTGCAAAACGAAGGTTCAATTCTGTTCATATGAAAATCGAAAACACATCTAGTTCCCTGATGCCAACGCTGCAACCGGGCATATGCGTCAAACTATCAAACTTTTGTTCACAATAAAAGAACGTTTTGTTTTTCCAAAGCACTCATCCCAACAAATTAAAAATTGTATTTTAGGAAAAATGTGATACTGAACCACCATGTGTGATATATCGTTGTAAAGAGAAAAAAAGACGTAATCTTAAAATCTCAAAATTAAAAATGGCGCCCATAAGAAAAACTAAAGTTGCCACGTGTTTCTCTGTCATCTTAAAAGTTATTTAAACCGAGATGTCAGATTCGAAATCTCCATTGAAGTGTTCGAATAATGTGTTAATTAGAAATGTCTAGTACGACTAGTTTATCATGAAAAAATTAAAAACGAAAATCAGAAAGTTTCGTTTTTTTGTGATATTTTCAGAACTATTGATGATATTTTAAATTTCTTTTCAGAGCAAGGAAATTCGCAACTTTGCCCCCATTTAACCAACTTTCTATCTCTTAAGGTGACCGAGATCCCCATAGTGGACCTCGAAAAATGGACACCGTGTATAGAAATAGATCTGCTTGAAATGCTGTCTGTAAAACTACCGCACCAAAATCAAAGTGGTTTACATTTAACTAACAATATTAATCCATGCAGGGAGATAGACTGCAAGTACCAGATTTACCGGTGATAAAGGATTTCAAAGATCTCTGTGACGGCGTAGCTCTAGCATCTTTGATATCGTTTTATTGCGCCGAGGAATTATCTTGGAAAAAAATTCGTGTGTCATATTTGCCAACGGTATCCGAAAGTTTACATAATTTGGGTCTTGTTCAAGCTTTCTGTTATCGTTGCCTGCCAGTGTCTATCTTTCACTTAATGCCAGAGGATATTACGTACATGAGGGGGTACGTATCGAAATTTTCTGTTATCCTTTGCAAGTTTTTTTTTGTAGGTCTATGAAACAAAATTTAATAGTTTTTCTCGCCGATCTATTTAATATTTTGGAAATACACCCTGTGAAATGTGTGCGATACCCCGGAATGGATAAGATTTCCAATGGTAAGACAGTTTTATTGCTTTTTTGTATTGGCGGGTTTTTGTTTGTCACATTGATTCTTTCTCCACCTGTTGTATATAGTGTATTATATGTTTTTTTTTTAAACATTTGCAAATCGATTACTATCTTTTCACTGCTTTGGCTTTCGTTTTCCCTTTTATTTGCTAATGTGGTGACAGTATGTAATTGGTAAGATTTATCATTTTACACTAATAAATTTATTAAATTACCTGTGTTTGACAATTTTGCTTGTATTGGTTGTGGCTATAGAGGGTTTTCCAGCGCGTAATGCGCATGGTGTGGTACATAAACGTAACCTGCCACAATCTGTGATGAGTCCTATTCCTGATTTAAGAAGTGGATTGGACGATCCAGCATCCTCTTCTGCTTTTCAAGGTAATCTTATTATTCCAATTTAATATTCTCACAATCGATCATACACTCTAATACATTTTCTAATGCCAAAGCCTTTTAGACAGCATCTAATGTTTAACGTCTTATTGTATTTTAGTTACAACATATGCGATACTTTTCTGCATGTTGCCTTTTAAACACATTAATTACAATTCGAGCATGATTATCATTGGTATTTATAAATATAATAATAATAATAACTACTTAAATGTTCATGTTGTTCGATATAACATGTTTTGCACTGCGCAATGTACGATAACTTTCTTTTGCATTTTATTTATTTTTATAAGAAATGAGCTGTATGTTGAAACGCTTACACGTAATGGAAGTGATATAATACTCAATTGAATATCTATGATCTAAGGGCATATTTTTTTCTTGTTTAATTCAGCAGTCGTCTAGAAAACTGTGATTTTTCAAAGAAGATTAAACACAAAATCATGCTTATTGGTCCTGATTACAAACGTTTGTTAATTAAGGTGCATTTAACAGGATAATTGAAGCATTTCTTTAGCAATAATAGTGTGATCAAAAAATAGGTATGCTTTGTTACTTCGATACCCAGAAAGTTTTTATATCAAAATTTGAAACAGTTGGAACCAAAGTAATTGCGATTATGAAAGCTTCCTTTCTTTGAAATATTTTTGTGGTTATTGCAATGTGTGTTGCCATATCTTTCGTAATCTGTAACTTGTCCGACTTACTGTCTACTGTGGATTTTGAGATTATACAAAACGCAAAAGTATGCTTTTCATTTGCAATACACCATTCATTGTGTATGTATATCCTCAAAATTCGCTGTGGCACTTTATCACTCTGGTACTGAAATATGTCAATAGGTGGCGTTAAATCGCTTTATATTGCTTACATATGGTTTTGTACTTTTCGATCACTGTATTGCGTTATCCTGTGCAGAAGTACTCGCATTTGTTGCATCGATTAATACTTGAATTTTAGTTTTGAAAACGACACCGACGCATGTGCCACTTAGGAAAACAAATTCATTTCAACAAAGCGCTTCGGAAATAAGCGAAGATAGTCTGAGAAGGGGATCGGACGATTCCTTCATCGTTCATAAAAGTAGAAATATTCCAACACTAAGTACTGTGATCAACGACGAACCTCTTGTTCCGGCCAGACTGCGTGTCAATAAGGAGAAACAGAATCACGATTCGAAAGCAGAGGAGCGAGGCGAGTATGGCAAAATGGCAGCCGGCAAGCCGAGCAACTGGGACGAGCACAAAAGGCCGAGCTACTCGGGACGAAGGTCCAGACGTAATTCTATTACGGACGATTCGCAATTAACTATAGAGAATTTTGGCGGTAGTCAGGAGAATATAAATTTTATCGGCCGAAATCCGGATAAAGAGGTGCGATACATGCATCAGTTACAGTTAGTTACATGTTTTCATTGCAGATGGGCGTGCATGTCGGAAGGAAAATTTCTGCACCTGCAGGTCCGGTGATCGAAAATCCGGCCGTTCGTACAACTTTAATGGATAATAGTAGTTCTATACAAATCGGATACGATAATGGCTGTGAAAAACAAGAAGATGAGCTTGAAAATTATAAACTTAAACGGCAATTAAGTAGCGAAGTTATAAAATTGCACCATCACAATGAACTTGACAAAGAAAATATTCTAAAAGACGTTGTCGATGGCGAAGACACAAATCGATTAAGTTTTGCTAACCTTAAACAAAACGTAGGCGGAGAACAAAAAGCAATACACTTAGTTTACATGCAGCACAACAAAGAGGAACTACCCTCAAAGTCTAGCTTCTTACAGAAAGCGAGTACCACTAACGGTACTGGTGAGAAAAAAACCACCACATTTGCAACCCTTCCAAATACTACCACTTGGCAACAGCAAAGCACGCATAGCCAACAGAGTGATGAAAGCAATGCAGGCGATGACAATTCTTCGGGCAATCACGTTGTTTCCTCTCAATTAAGTGATATTAGAATGAAATTGGAGGAAAAACGACGTCATATAGAAAACGAAAAACGAAGGATGGAGGTTATTATGAACAAGCAGAGACAGAAAGTTGGCAAGGCCGCCTTTCTACAAGCAGTGACCAAGGTAAACCACATTCATATTTTAGAGTACCTCTTGTACGCTTGGGTATAATGAAATCTTGCAAACTTTCTATGGTGCTAAAAAGTATTTGCGGCTTTTTTTTTTATTAACCTATTTATTCACTTTTCCAGCTCACTGAAATGGTAAGGATCTCTTCTGACGTTGACACTTTTAGGCTCCTTGGTAGTAGTACTTGTAGTTGTTTGTTGAAACTTACTGTTACTCGCTACTTGATCTATGTTAGACATTTTTTTACTCAGGCTAGATAGATTAGAAATTCATGTTAGAGTAACACCCACACACATATTTTCTAAGCTTGCGGTTCATTTCATTGGGTGAATGCTAATCACGAACTTATAAATTAAGAAGGACTGCTAATGCTGAATTAACAAATGACACCTACATGAGGGCCGCCATGATCAACTAATAAACAAGCATTAACCTCACGTTTTCTTAATACATTACTGTGACACATGTCATTTTCCAAGGCTGCAATAGTCTCAAAACTTGAGCACTATGAATATTCCCCTAGAAAATAACTAAAACGTGCACTTCAGAGCCCATTTCTACCTCTATGCAACTGTTTGATCAGCAGTCCATCTTAATTTATAAGTTCGTGATGCTAATAGACCTTATTGAAATAACGAGATCTGGCTGCCTGGAATTTACAGGGACAGGTCTGAAGCTTTGTTTGCATGCTTTTATAATGATAATAATACAGGAAAATTTCTAAAATGTATAGGTACATATGGGCACAGATATACACAAACAACAGATTGGTGACCTTATGCAATTCATGGGTAACACGTTTTCGTTTTACAGTGACTATACAAGACAGTGCTCAAATGCCCCTCCTCCACATTCCTTAAATGCTATAAGAAATTTTTTAAAGGGCAAGTTTCCAAGACATGTACATGCATTTTGAATTGTCATTCAAAATTTTAATAAAAACGACAATAAATAGAATGCTTTTAGGTTATGATGAAGAGATATTCGAACGCCATAAGCTTATGGGATTCTTTTCCACAAAAATTAAAACATTCAGTTTCATATCCTCCGTTAAAATTAAGCTCATGAAACTAAAGTCACTAAATATAGAAAGTACCGCAATCCATTGGGCTCGTGTGTTAGAGAGAGAACACTTGATTTTTTCCCAAAAATGGCGGAAGTTACCAGATTCTAGTAACTTTAATGTTAGGGATTGTTCCACCTGTTTGGAGATATCTGTATATATTTTTATAAAACACTACTATGAAGTTAGGTTATAAAAAATTACAGCTATTCAGATTTTATTTGTCAATTTTTTTAAGTTGGCAGCAAATTTGCCCAAAAATGGCGGATGATTGCGGTACTTTCTATATCTAGTGACTTTACATGAAACTATTACCGTCACTATACCAATTGACAAGTGACAAGTTTTTCTTCAGTTGAATACATCGCACACAAACGAAAATAAAAATACGGAAGCCAAAGCAATAATATTTAAATTAATTAATATGACAGCCAGATCTTTATTTGTTTCAAGAAGTTACTTTGGTTGCATAAAATTGGGCGTCCTTCAGAAGATTTTCTGTCATTTAAAAGTATACATAGGAAATCCCTATGTCTACTCTAAATGAATAGCACTGTATATCTATATAATATTCTCTAGCCCTGTACAGTGATGTTTTTGACAAGGTTAAAATTTCTTAGCGTGCATTATGCTTATAAATAAGGTCTATTAGTTTTTCGTTTACCTAGAATGATGCACTGTCAGTTCCATTATAGTGCTTGGGGTATTTTTAATATATATTCCGATAATTGAAAATGCATTTAGGATGTCACGCTTATGAATAAGTTGGCAGCTAATCACGGCCCTACTTACAACTGACATTACTGAAATACAGAGACAATAATAAATTTGAAGCAACTTGCAAATAACTATGAGTACCCTTGATGAGCACTATACTCTATTCATTTTAAGAAGGTAGAGGTAGAAATCATACTAGCTGAAAAATGACGAGGTCATTTTAAGTCATTTTAATAAAAATTGTGTGGGGCCCGAGGCGTATGTTGGTTGGATAATGCAACTTGCTTCACATTTACGATTGATAACTTTGTGTATTGCATATTTCATTTTGTCACGAGCTTTCGTTGATTTTGTTTGTGCACAGAGATACTCGTACAAGCCGACAAAGCTGAAAACTGTATACTTTTTTGTTTTGTTTTCAATTTACTAATGTATTTATGGTAGAGGGCGCTAGTCTTTCTGATGGACAGGCAAAATACTCACTTATATGCTAAGAGTTGAAATGAAATGTAATTTATTTATTGGCATATCATCGCCCCAGTTTTAATTATCTGTATTTATCGTTGAATGACAGCCAGGCGATGCTAAGGTGCGCATTTGTACAGAAGTTGATCTGTTCTCAATTTTATGTAATGAAATGATACGATAAAAGCATTTCCGTTTCCCAAATTGACTTTTTCCACTGAAATAGAACACAAATGCTTGCTCTTTTATCCAAATCTTGCTTAGTTCACAATAACAGTTGAGGTTTAAAATTGTTTAACAATATTTAAAATAAGGTGGAGGTAGTTCTTTATATTAGTAACTAACTTTCAGGGAAAGGGTAATATACTTAAGACACCGAGTGAATCTGAATGTAGTTCAACAAGTGGTTCCGAACCCCGTAGTCCAGCATCTGACAAAACCTCCCAAAAGCAAAGACCTTTTACGCTTCAGGTACATAACAATTTTAATTGTTAGCTAGTTTTGGAAATTGAACAAATATGTTAGTTAGTTTGTATCGTTTTTAGGAAATCACGGACGAAGTTAGTACAGTCGAGCGGAAATGGTTAGATAATACCCAGCCATTTGTGGAAACAAGACGAACACCAGATATTGAAAATATGGATTTGGAGCAGTATCAACAGTCAATCGCACAGTAAGCTCTATAATCTCAAATAAAAGAAATTCGATTGGTAATTTTTAGAATGAATTCTAGTCTTCATGATATTCAATCGGATATTCAAAGGTTAACTTCTCAACAAAATCAAATGCAAATGGTGCAGCAACAGGCACTAATGCAGCCGCAAAGTCATCATGTGGCACCTTATCCTCAGTATAACATGCCGCAAACCTTTGATGCTCAATCGTACTCCCAGCAAGGTACAAAATTTGAATTGTAGCGGATAGTTAAAGCTAATCTCTGTCATTAATAGGTGCAATATATAATCCATTACAATCGTATTCCAGTGCTCCGCATATACCTCAGGCCGTTTTTGCCCAGCAAGTGGGTACTAGTCCTCCCATTCACCAGGAACAATCTCACTTTTATTTACATAACCAAGCGCCTTCCCCCGCAGCTGCGATACCGACAGTCGTACCTCAAAGACGAACTTGGGCGCAACAGATAAACGATTCATATCAGTCACCGGAGATGCGAACTTGGAGTAAACCGCAAAGTCCCGCCGGCTTCCTTCTCCATAACAACACGAACACATACGAAGATCCACGGTACCCTACGTCACCGCGACACAACGAAAATCCAACAAGATATCAAAATGGTGACGAGTATCCCTTAAATCGTAGCAATAGCCATCCCGGATTTACATTAAGTCAGCAACACATGCAACAGCAATTGTTTTCGAATTCCCAAAGTTCTTCCTCCCCTTCTAGTTCGCCACAACATCGAAATTTACACAAGCAAATTTCCCAGTTACTCGACGAGAGCAAAAGGAGTCCCGTTAGTTTACAGCAAATGGAGCCCATCAGAAAAACCGGTAGCGTAATAACGCACGCCTCCATCCCGGTACCTTCAATGGACGATATGGAGCCGCAAAACATCTCTTTCATTGGCAATTCCGTCAATGAGCAGGTTAGCGAAGGAATCGGTCGACTGAACATAACGTCTGGAAGTAGAACTTATAGAATACCTTCTCCAACTAGACCGTTGACTGCTCGCAACGCATTCCAACATTCACCCATTGAAAAAGAAGCCATCCCAGATTCTACTACGGACGAAGATCCTGTAAACGAGAAAGGATTTTATATTAGTTTCGATAACGATCAGCCTAAAAGGCCCAAACCTCCCTTACGAACGAGAAAAGGATCACCAAGAAAAGAGGCTTTGTTCGGGGAGCCATTGGAGAGGAGCAACTATACACAACTCCAGGAGAGAGAGGTACATATCAAACTTATTTTAGTAGGAAAAAGGCTTGTCTTTTTGGATAAAATAAACAAAATTATTTTAGAGCAAAAGTCTAAATACGTTTTTTTTTAGAGAAAAAAATACTGCATTTGTTCATACTTTTAGTTATAATTTTTCATTTTTCAAAACCGTAGAAATCGACAAAATAAAAAATTACATTTTTATAAATCAGTGCTGCTTTGGAATCTTTTAACAAACTACAAGCGCATCGCATCTAGTTTTCGTTGTTTGACGTCGAACGATTTTCATATTTAATTCGGTTACAACTAACCGATGCAATAAATGGCATCTTAGGGTAATGTTTTTTTAGAGAATGTATGCTGCATCTGCATCAGATACTATTTGTTTATTATTTTCCGGAATCAGAGTACCTACATAATCGAAGAAACAAAAACTGATTTAAAGCAGATTTGTTCCTAAACTTATATTCGGATTTTCCGCTACTGCAACCAAAACGTTGAATGTATTGTCGTTTTCCTGATGGTTTTGACGGACATTTTGAACGTTATTGCACTTGCAGTTCTTTAACTTTAACAGGTATAAATTTAATATACAGGGTGATTCCTATAGTACCTGCCACCGTTTGGGAGCGTGTAGGTGGTGCGTAGGGGAGTATTTTGATATAGGACAGTTGGGGTCGGAAATCTAAAATAAGGGTGCCAGAGCCAAATTTACCTTCTGGAATTTCGCGCCTGTAGGTAGGCAACCCAACCGGCCGGCGGTGCACAGGGCGTTAGTGGGCTGCGAACTAGGAGGAGGTCGGTGTAAACAAACAAACTTTTCGAAATGGGTGCTTAAATGACCCAAGTATCGATGTGCATCACGAATCTGTGTGTAAAGTTAAGCCTCCATCAGCTTACCTGCAATTGCCCTGTCTCGCACAGTCGGAAGTGAACTTCTTGAAAGACCTGTCTGCAGGGTAACTGACGGTTTGGATACCGCTCAGCGTACGCTCGTCGTGCAGCTCGTGCGTTACCATTTGCCAATCCGTACATGAAGTGCATGTCCGCGTATTCCGTGTTAGTAAAACGTGCCATAGTGTTTATTCACTTGATACGCGTCGTTGCAGACGGGATTTCGTGGGTTTAAACAAAATTCTGATCAAGTGTCAGCCACACATCGCCGCCTGAGATCGCTCCGTGTGCACCGCCGGCCGGTTGGGTTGCCTACCTACAGGCGCGAAATTCCAGAAGGTAAATTTGGCTCTGGCACCCTTATTTTAGATTTCCGACCCCAAGTGTCCTATATCAAAATACTCCCCTACGCACCACCTACACGCTCCCAAACGGTGGCAGGTACTATAGGAATCACCCTGTATGTCAAAGGCAAATAATGAAACGTGATCGCTGTTTTTTTAGGTAATTCCAAGGCATATTTGATTTATTGTAAAATGAACCCTTTTATTTTGTCGATTTGTACGGTTTTGAAAAACGGAAAATTATGAGTAATAGCATGAACAGATTCTGTATTTTTTTCTCTTAAAAAGTAAAAAGACGTATCTAGACTTTTGCTCTAAAATAATTAGGGGAGCTAGTAATTGACTATAAAGAAATTACCATTGAAATCCCTATGCTGCGTCGCGCTAGGCACCACCCGGTATAAATACCAATATTAGTAATCTAAAATTCCCGCTTCTTTTATACCTCAAATATGCCAGAGTGATAATACCCCCCCCCCCCCCCTTTAAATAAGCCACTTGTCAGTTCCTTTAAATTTTTTTATTACCCAATAGCAAATTGCCTATTTGAAATTATATTCTAAGCATAAGAAATCTTCGACTTTAATACTAATACCAATTTAAGGAAAAGGAAAGGATCGAGAGACAAAAACGGCTTCAAGGAGAATTAGATTTAGAGAGACTGAAAAGAGAAGAACACGAAGAGGAGTTTCGCAGACACGAACTGTTAGAAAAGGGGAAGCGAAAAGAGGCTACCTACGAGAAAGAGAGGGTGACTGCAGCGTCCGCCATTATTATAGGAAATGATCTTAGCAATCCCGATCCGGTAATTACGAACAATAAAAATATTAGTGAATTTTCGTTTCGTTTTGTAGGATTTAGTCGACGAAAGAGAAAAGAGAAAAGAAAAAATTATGCTGATGTCGTTACAAAGGAGACAGCAGCAAGAGGAGGCCAAGGCGAAAAAGGAGCATGAGGCCCAAATGAGAAGGGAAAGGGAAAAGATGAAAGAAGAGGACAAGGTACGGAAAAAAGAGGAGCAATTACAACGTCGAGCCGCCATTCTCGAGCAGTATAAATTGAAGAAGGCTATTGAGGAGGCGGAGAGAGAAGTAAGTGAAGATGTTTAAGGTTTTCGTAAGGCCTGCCTTTCTTTTCCTTTGAGGGCAAGACGTTAGATAAAGGTGAAGTAATGACATCGTTGAAACCGACACCAAAAATGCGTCCGAAAGGTTCCGTCTCGAGGCCGCGACCTAAAACCATCCATATTGATAGTGGTTCGGTCGAGATGGCGGAGGGGCTGTTGCAACCGAGTCGTGCCAAAAAAGGTTCCAGTTCTAATTTGACGGGTAAATTTTTCGACTCAATTATAATCATTTGCTTATTCTTGCAACAATAATTTCGTAGTTTTAGTTGCCGCTTGATTGTTGTTACTTTTATTTTGTATTTAGTTAACAGTTACGTGTCAAACAGCAGCATGAAACGTGATTATTATCGAGGGTCTCAAGATAGTCTTGCCGATAGTGGTCGAATTCATAGTGGGATTCTTTATAGAGGTGTGTTTTTGGGGTTTTATTTTGTTTATAATTTTAACAATGATTGTAAAATGTTTTGCCTTCGATGTGTACTCGTGTACACCGTCGTATATGTTTATATTCTATTTTATTACTGTGATGATTTCAGATTCGCCGGACGACAGTAGGGGCATGTCTCCTTGCCATAGTGCCAATCAAACATTGGGCCGACGAGGATCGTACAAGACCTCTAGAGGTTTGTATGCATTTGAGATGGTTTTCGATGTTTTGTTGTGTTCGGTGTGCTTGTTTTGGTAGTGACTTGCAATTGTAGTGTGTAGTTGGTGTTGCAACCATTCCATTTAAAAGTTGCCATGCTTGCGAAGGAAATACAATTACGTTCCGTTTATTTGTATTTTGTATGATTTTATTTGAATTTACATATGAGCAGTGCCCTTTGTGATAGTAGTATAAACATGTAAAAAGCAATTTTTAAGTGAAATGGAGAGTAGTGTACAAAAATGTGTTTCCAGACCCGTCTCCTGCTCAGGTTCGTGGCAGGCCTAAGTATTCAACTTATAAAGGACGCAAGTCATCTTCTATGATGAATTTGTATGGTAAGATAGTACCCGTTTTTTGTGATCTTGGTGGTTGTTGTTATAACGGTTTACGGGGCATGGTTACTTTCTATTTCCATTTTTTCCTGTGATGCAGTATATTGTGAACAAAGGCAAGGATGGGTATTCTTAGATATGCTTATAGTGCTTGTGTGTCGTTTAGTTGTGTAAACCTATGGATTTTTATTTTTATGTTCTTCATTTGTTCAATAGCCAATAGTAGCTATAATCAATCATTTGTTTATACAAATAGAGCTTTTTTACCTTTATGACATGTTAAAATTGACATTCAGTATATTTCTAAAGCAGCAGAGCACCTCGGTGTGACCCTAGGGGGTCGTTGGATTTACCCCTTTTTCAATTGGCTTGTTACGTGTGGCATATCGGTCAACTTTGCAAAGTTTGAACCAAAATAAAGAGTGTAAGAAGCCATGGCAAATTTGGTCTCAGTCTTTCACACTTCTGGTGATAGAGTGAGTGTCTTACAAAGATCACAATTGCGCTTCTTTGATTCCAAACCCAGCAATAACCGAAAGAGATACGAAGAAATGAGAATATAGAAAACTAAATGTTTCACAAAAAAAATCTGCTCTGAGATATGTCTCCCTTCAACCGTTTATGAGCATTAAATAAGGGCAGTACTTTCGTGTTGACATCCGAAATATCCTTGAATGCTTCCCCTTATAATTGAGAATCTCTTCTTGATTGTTATGACGACACACAACAAATTAATAAAATAAAAATTGTAGGTAAATGTGTGCACTAAGATGCAAGTTGGCTAATATCTCTATATGTATAAACAATAGTAGCAATTAACACAAATTCTTATAAATATTGTAGCGTTTGATTTTGTGTAACAATAAATTCTTTAACAAATATGGAGGCGTGTTAGCATTCTTTAGCATTAAAATGTTAAATGGTGAGTATTGGATTTAAATGGTCAATTTAAAATTTCCTGCCACAATTCCATGTTGTTAATGAATTAGTTTTAGTTTCAATTTTAGGTGACTGTGCTGACTAAAATATGTAATAAACAATTATTAATCATTTTTAAGTGATGTATATGCAAACTAATAATAATTTCATACTAACCATCCTTAGGATCAAGTACAGATCAAGATAGTTTGGCATATCGGTACGGAGATACGGACTCGGGATTGGGCCGAGCAACGCCTCCCAGAAGAGCTCCATCTCCAGGTATGGGCCCAATGCGTCATCTTCCATCACCTTCCGGTCCCGGTAGCTTACCAGGTTTTATGACTAAAAGACGCATGTTTGATGACGGTTCTAGCGATATCAGTTCTACACCTAGTAGTATGATGGATTACACAGGTAGAGTGTTTGAAAAGTGTATGTTTATAAGACTAAGTAAATTTACCAACAGTATTCCATTATACCATCTATTTAAAAAGAAGTACAATTCTACATAAAGTGATTGAGTAACTTTCCTTTATATTAAACTCCAACTTACATTTGGATCATATAGTCATAATTTTATTCAATCAATAAATTATAACTTTTACCAAATTTCTGCAATTTACAAAAATTCCATATTGAAGCGTTACATTAATCACCCTCCTCAAAAACAACAGTATGCATCTTGCCACTGCTTTTTATTCCTATCCATTGCTCATGTTCTCATCACAGAGTACAATTTGTTATTCCAGTTTCTTGAAATAATTTGTAATATTTCATACTACTCATTCCTAAAGTAATAGTTGCGATATTGTTAATAACATTTTAAATTTTTCACAGGTCCACGATTGTACAAACAGCCAACAACGAAATCGAATAGAGGTATAATGTTAAATGCAGTGGAGTATTGCGTTTTTCCCGGTGTTGTAAATAAGGAAGCAAAGAGGCGCGTGCTCGAAGAAATCAATCGATCGGAAGCGAAACATTTTCTTATTTTGTTTAGGGACGCCGGTTGTCAATTCCGTGCTTTATACTCCTATTGTCCGGAGGGCGAAGAGGTATTAAAGCTTTACGGAACCGGCCCAAAGCAAGTGAACGATAGGATGTTCGATAAGTTCTTTAAGTGAGTCTCGTACATAATCTTTTTTAGGGAAAGTAATAACGTTATCATTTGCAGGTATAATTCCGGTGGCAAATGTTTCTCACAAGTACATACAAAACACTTAACTGTCACAATAGATGCCTTTACAATCCATAATTCTCTATGGCAAGGTAAAAAAGTGAATTTGCCTAGTAAAAAGGATATGACGCTTGTGATCTAGTTCGGCATTTTGTAATGCGGCAATTAATTTATCAAGTATTTTCTGATTGATTGTATTAATCGACTGCTAAATTTGGTATTCATTTTTTTTGTTATTTTTATACACCTTTTAATTTTAATTACTCGTCAAGGAGGAAATGTTGGAGATGTATGCTTTAATTTTTTAATTGATATTCAGAATTTTATCTTATTTTGTGGAAGTTTTTATCGTTATACAATTTTTTTTATCAAGAACCAAGTTGCGACAAATTTACTTACCCCGTTAATTGTTTTAAATGAAATTTATTCATTCCAATGATTTCGTAAACAAGTTCTAACTTTTGTACTTTGCTTGCGGTTCATTAATAAAACGCATTTGTTAAGAAGTATTTAGTCATTTCTGCTTGTAATGCTAATAAAAATTGTTTTATAACGAAGGTGCAAAAGCCAGAAGTGCTTATATTTGTTAAAATGTCCTGTATAAATTAAAAGAATTGTAAAACTCGATAAATATCGAAGGGAAGAATAAAGTTCTATATTGCTTGGTGAGTTGTACACTTGGAGCGTCCTTATCTGAGCGCATAACATCATTATATAGCAGATTCTGATTGTATTAAAAACACTTATCTATGTTGTCTAACAGCTATGTTATACACTAATTTTTGTCATATGTCTGTAAATATTAAGTTTTTATAATATATACATATATTTATTAATGAAACACGTAATATCAAATGTGGGTCCTTGTTACGCGCAACGTAAAAAATAAAATTGTAACGTTCTATTTGTGCATTTTGTTCATCATTTTTCTAGTTGTGGGGTTTCCTTAATTAGAAACCACTTTCGAAAGAAAATTCAAAGGGCTGTAACTTTTGAACTAGTAGCCCAATCTTGGAACTGTTTGAAATTATGGATTCTACAGGCCACGTTCTATAAGAAAAATTTTTCCCAGGACGATCTGAGCCAATTTTTTTTTGGGGCAAAAAAAAGGCAGTGTATAACCTTCCCTTTTTCCAAAAATCGACTGCACCAAAATTTCTCGGGAAAACACTTTTCTTATTAATTTTGGTGCGTAGAATCCAAAACAATTCGTACTTTTTCGATCAGACTTCTCAATCAAAAGTTATAGACTAGAAACCAATTTCGAAAGAACATTCAAAGGGCTGTAACTTTTGAACTAGTAGCCCAATCTTGGAACTGTTTGAAATTATGGATTCTACAGGCCACATTCTATAAGAAAAATTTTTTTCCTGGACGATCTGAGACAATTTTTTTTTCGTGGCAAAAAAAAGGCAGTGTATAACCTTCCTTTTTTACCAAAAATCGACTACACCAAAATTTCTCGGGAAAACACTTTTTCTTATTAATTTTGGTGCGTAGAATCCAAAACAATTCGTACTCTTTCGATCAGACTTCTCAATCAAAAGTTATAGACTAGAAACCAATTTCGAAAGAAAATTCAAAGGGCTGTAACTTTTGAACTAGTAGCCCAATCTTGGAACTTGGAACATTTTAATTTAGAGAAGTTATATATGGTTTCGTAACTTCTTGTATTAAAGTCATATGAAAAACCTGTCAAGTGTCATATAAAAAATCATGTGAGATTATATTATAGTGTAAAGGTATCTTTATAATTTCCTTCTTTTGTTTTTAAATCTGATGCCCAAATTTAATAACTAAATCATAAACAAATTATCTTTTTCTACTATGAATCATCATGCCCCTAAAATTTGTGGGGGTTACTTATAAGATGGCAATTTCCGTCAACGGAATTTATAATTTGTTCTGTGCATTTCATTATAAGAATCAGTGATTAGTTTTTCACAAAAGAAAAGTAGTTTTCTCATAAATTGTGTGAAATCCGTGATAAATAAACAATGCCAAATTTTGTTTTAAAAGCGCTGTGATTGGACCATTTTTCTAAAATCAGTTTACGTGCGATGACGTCGTACCTAACTACGTCATCGCGTCATGTCACGTGACCCAGTTTTCAGTTTATCGTTGAAGCCGCTTGCGCGTCCTATGCAGCTTTTTTCCGTTTTCTTTGAAAATAAGAATTATCATAACAAAATAAACGCCAGAAAATTAAAACTAAACACTTGGAAAATTGTGGCACGTCGTTATTTTCGGCCCGTCGTTAAATAAATCGGTGTTTTCAAACGTTTCAATGTTTGGTTATGATGGCGTCCCTTTTGAATTTAAACTCGCGATTGCGTGTTATCTCGATGTTTCTTGCATTGTTTTTCAAATTATAAAGTGGCGTGATATTAAAAATCAACTCTTTAAAGTAATAAAGCGAACTCGGAAAGCACATCGCTCGTTTCGGTGCCGTGTTTAATTTCTTACCTAAAACTGGTGTTGCGTTGTGCAATTACGTGGGTTTCTGTTTCTTGTTTTGGATCAAGACGTCTATGATACGATTTCAAGAATACAGCTATCGACTTGAGGTAAATTTTCAAACCTTTTAAAGTTCCATCATACTTCTTACCTACGGAGCCTTAACCTCGAAATGCTACCTAGGTACCATCTCTTAAGTGGCGTTTACATTAGGCAACTTCTGGTCGGACGACTAAGTTGATCGACTGAAAGTCCCCTACGATCGCCCATGTAAACCCGATTTTCAACCGAGCCGGGTGACTACCGGTTGTTCTACTAGAAGTTGACTTTATGGCTACTTTTGGTGGAACAACTCGGTCGTTTCAACTCGCAGTCGACCGTCTAAACACTCGAGAATTAGTTGACAATCGATTGAAACAGATATTACTGTTGTTTGTAAAAAAAGCAGGCAAAATATCTAAAGTAAATCCCTTGCAATGTCCACCAACGACGTTTGTTTCCGACCAATTATATTTTTAAGTTCGCTTAACAAAATAACCGCAATTGATGATGTTACACGTAAAATTTCTTTACGTTTCACAGGCGCTATCTTGAACGATAAGAATGTCGGCCGACAACGCTTAAAATGTAAACCTTGTTATCGAACGACCTCAACTCGATCGACCGATCAGAAGTTGACTAATGTAAACGCCGCTATAGTTTGCGATATTCTACAATAAAAAAGCATGTTCAAAAGTTCAATATTTAGTTTTCATTTTGGTGTAAATGATATAATAACGAAATATAGTCTGACTGATCAATGTACGTATCTTTCGGTAAATTAAGATGGATGGCGATATGCTTGTTGATGTGCAGACCATACGGAAGATAAAACGGTAATTACATTGTACACAATGCGGTGGTCAAACACACTCATTTTACTACCTTCCTCGTAAATATAACAACATCCGCATCGTAGACTTTTAGAGTATAAGGTAGATTTTTTATTACCGTCCAATGCCAATAATCGGTAGCAGATGTAAAAATTTTTTATATTCACAACCTGTTGGAACGATCAGGATCAATTTATCTTGTAGTACTAGTTCAGACTCGACGCTGCATTATGTACCGTTACTTTTACAGTACTCCGCTTGAAATGAATTATAAGATGGTACATTTATTTTATTTCGGTAGGTATTTCTTAAATGGAGGAAATTCACAAACATGGGAAACCTGCTCGGAATTGTGAGTTTGTTTCTCAATCTCCTTTCGGGTTTTCTCCCATTCTTTCAAGTACTATTGACAGTGCAATCCAAAATGCATTGCTGTCAAGTCACTTGTTTTGTTTACATGAGAAATCGTACTTAAATTGAACTTCCAAAGGCGACTCGACAGCACCTCATTTTTGAACGCCCGATATTTCTGTACCTGCACTTTAGTTGTTGACTAGGTAATGATAATATAAAATCTCAGCTGTAGTATAAGTACTGCACTTCAGATGTGTTGCATATTGACTCCCTCGGTACTGCGCATACGAAAGTGCGCTAAAATTTGAATTTGATTTAACGCACTCGAAATTAATAAAGCCTTCGGTCATCACTGTGAATTCCAGTTACATTATAGCCCCAACAACAGTCATGATCCTTTACAGCATTGGGAATAAACAACAAAAATTGTAACGTTATTATTATTTATTATAATCAAAACCCTTCTACCATCATGGTGTACAGAAAATAAATTAACATATACTCTACCAGATAAATCACTATAAACTATTGTGCTCCATTTTTTATAGATATGTGATGATGATAGATGTATATGAGTGTTGGGAAACAAGGAGTAGCTTTTTGCAATAGTTTACTCACCCTGGTGCCAGAGTGTTGATCAACCCCATAATCACATGTTATGTTAGTAGCTTTCATTTCTTTCTAATTATCCAATATAAACAATATTTTTTTTTCGAAAACTACCCGAGACGTGAGATTGTAATTTCTAATCAAGTGAGATCTCGACTCAAGATTGCATTCACTAGATGGTAATAGCCGAGGTAGCGAATTGAAATTTGTATATAGCCTGCGTTATTTATTTTATTGGACTGCAAGTGGTAGAAGTCTAGAGCAGCTACAATAGGTCTTGGTCAGCTTAAAGTAGAACTTGTGTGTACTTTCGTTTCGGTGTACATACCTAGAGCACTGAGGTAGCAGTATGTAGGTTTATTGCGAGAGTGATGGAAAAAATTAATAAAGATATTGCAAGTGTTTCTTAAAGAGCCCTTTACCACATTTTGTAACCCTGTGTTGGGATCGGTCTCTGGGTAGCCTAGGAGTCGCCCTTATACATGAACATCTGCAGACGTTCAATTGTCCTTTTAGAATTCAACCCTACGGCATCTGTTCCAAACTGTGGGACCTTCTGCAACTATTTTCATTTTTTCCTGAAGGCTCGCTGGATTCCCTGGCGGCTACACCATTGCAAATAACGCGTTCTAATTTCCTTCTTTTGTTTTTAAATCTGATGCCCAAATTTAATAACTAAATCATAAACAAATTATCTTTTTTTACTATGAATGTTCATGCCCCTAAAATTTGTGGGGGTTACTTTTAAGATGGCAATTTCCGTCAACGGAATTTATAATTTGTTCTGTGCATTTCATTATAAGAATCACCGATTAGTTTTTCACAAAAGAAAAGTAGTTTTCTCCTAAATTGTGTGAAATCCGTGATAAATAAACAATGCCAAATTTGAAATTTTGTTTTAAAAGCGCTGTGATTGGACTATTTTCTAAAATCAGTTTACGTGCGATGACGTCGTACCTAACTACGTCATCGCGTCATGTCACGTGACCCAGTTTTTAGTTTATCGTTGAAGCCGTTTACGCGTCCTATGCAGCTTTTTTCCGTTTTCTTTGAAAATAAGAACGATCATAACAAAATAAACGCCAGAAAATTAAAACTAAACACTTGGAAAATTGTGGCACGTCGTTATTTTCGGCCCGTCGTTAAATAAATCGGTGTTTTCATGTTTCAAAATGTTTGGTTATGGTGGCGTCCCCTTTGAATTTAAACTCGCGATTGCGTGTTCGATGTTTCTTGCATTGTTTTTCAAATTATAAAGTGTCGTGATATTAAAAATCAACTCTTTAAAGTAATAAAGCGAATTCGGAAAGCACATCGCTCGTTTCGGTGCCGTGT